GCCGCCGCCCCGGCGGCGGCGTCCTCCGCCCCCGCGGCGGCGCCTCGCGCCGCGCCCCGCGCGAGCCGTCGCCTCTCCCCCCACCGCCGGTCGCGCGACCCCGCGTCGCGCGGCCGGCGTCTTACAGCCCCGCTCTCTCCCCCTTCTGTCTCCGGCGCGTGGGTGGGGTCCGCGCGGGCCCCGGAGTTGGCCGCACGCGGTCCGAATTCGGGCTCCGAACCGGACCGGGCCCATGATGATATTGCCCGGCAGCCCCGGCTCAACGCTGTAAGCATGGGCGCGGTGCGCTGAGCGTTTGCATGGCGGAGCTCGACGCGTGGCCGAGCGCGCGGCCGTGGTCGTCGGGCGCGACCCCGGGCGGCCTCGGCGCGCTGGACCTGCCGCGGAGCGCGACGGCCGACGGCGCGCCGCGGAGCTTCCTGGAGGAGTCCGACGACCTGCACCGCACGGGCCGCGACCGGCTCTGGCCCTACTGCGTCCGGCTGAAGCAGTCGCCGGTGCAGCGCGTGCTCGCCGAGCGCGCGCGGCAGCTCACGGCGGCGGAGCGGCCCGTGGCGCCGCCGCCCTTCGTGGACCTCGGCAACTTCGACGCCGTCGCGGCGCCTGCCGTCGCTCCGGCCGCCGGCGGCGGAGAAGCTCGCCGCGCGGCCGCTGCCCGCGCACAAGGCCGAGCCGCGGCGGCGCAACTTCCAGGAGCGGAGCGGCCAGCGCCACTGGTCCGCGGCCGAGGACGACGCGAGCGTGTCGTCGTCCGACGGAGCGGTTCCGCGTCGCGGGCGAGCTGGAAGCTTTAGGCTGGGGCGAGCTCGACTTGGAGGAGCGGCCCCTGGAGGACGTGAGCATCGCCGACATCGAGGCAGAACTACAACGCGTCGCCGACGCCATCGCCCGGGCGAAGGACGAGCCCGACGTGCCCTTCGACAAGACGTTCCACGTGCCCGACCGGTACCGCGAGGGCTACGAGGACGAGACAGCCGTGACCTTCGGCGCCGTCGAGGAGGACGACATTTCCAAGGACGCGCGGAAGCTCGCGCGGCCCTGGCGGCGCGCGAAGCCGCCCCTCGCGATGCCGTTCCACCGCACGCTGGAGCGGCGGGACCTCTTCCTCCACGCGAACGCGGAAGCGCTCGCGCGCGCGAACGCCGCGGCCGACGCGGAGAACCGCGCGGTCCACGCGGAGCACCTGCGGCGCGTGCGGCGCGCCCTCGAGGTCGCCCAGCGCCGGGGCAACGCCGCCCACGCGAGGGCGCTCGACCGGCTGCTCGCGCACGCCGCGGCGACGGCGGCGCGCGCGGCGGCCGACGACGTCGCGGCCGCGGCGCGCGCGGCCTACCGGGACCGCATGGCCGAGCTGGCGACGTACCGCAAGACGGAGCTCGGCGAGTGCCAGCACTGCGGCGACATGGTCCCGTTGGCCAAGATGGCCGCGCACGCGGCGAACTTCTGCCGGAACCGGTTGCAGCCGTGCAAGAACGCGGACTGCGGCTGCGCCGTCATGGTGCGGCCCATCACGGCCAAGTGGCACGAGGAGGCGGACCATTTGCTGGAGCCGCGGTCCTGCCTGCGGTTCCCCGGCGCGGCGGGGTTCCGGCCCACGTACGTCGCGCTCGACGAGGCGGATTTGGACCCGCCGTGGACGGCCGAATTCTGGGTCTGGCGGCCGAAGCCGGCGGACGCGCTGCGGTCCAAGGCGCGCGCGTGCCTCAAGGCGCACCGGGTCCAGAAGGAGAAGGAGCACGTCGTCGCCACGCTCGAGGCGGAGGTGAAGGCGTTGGAGGAGAAGGCGACGACGGCGTTCTCGGGCGTCGGGGGCGAAACGAAGGAGGAGATCATGAAGCGGTCGTCGGCGATCACGGACACGATCATCGAGACGAACGCGGCGATGATGGACGCGGCCGTGACGGCCTACGTGTCGAAGAACGTGTCCTACGAGCTCATCCGGTCCGTGCGGCGGTTGATTAGCGAGCTCGAGGACGACAACGACGTGCTCCGCGCGGCGCTCGAGCCCATGGTCCACGGCTTCCGGCCCCTGAACCCGGCGAAGAAGCGCTTCGGCGTCCTCGCGGAGGCGCCGCCGCCCGAGGACGCCGTCGCCGCCGCGCCCGCGTCCGCGGACCCCCTCGCGCTCCGCCGCGAGGGCGACGACGCCGAGACGCCCTACTACGACTCCGTCGACGAGGTGCGCCGCGCGCTCGACGAGGTCATCAAGGAGATGGACGCGAAGCCCCACGAGCACCACGACGACCACAAGGGCGACGAGACGAAGGACGAGCCCAAGGACGGCGGCGGCGGCGGCGACGACGACGACGACGACGACGACGACGACGGGCGGCGGAAGAAGCAGAGCGCCAAGGAGAGGCGTGCGACCATGCGCAAGAAGAAGAAGGAGCGCGCGCGCGAGAAGCTGCACCACAAGCGCGACGCGTCACACGGCAAGTCCGTCAAGAAGCGCGCGCTGGAGCTCCTGCTGGGCAACGAGGGCCACGAGGCCGTCGCCGCGTCGTCCAAGTGCAAGCTCCTCTTCGAGGTGGACCACAGCAAGGGCAAGAAGCCGAGCAACAAGGGCCACCTCGGCGTGTCCTTCCCCGGCGTCGGCACGTTCACGCTGTCGCACGAGCCGTTGCCGACGGAGCGCTGGGTCCACGTCGCCTTCGTCGCGAGCGAGCAGAAGTCCCTGAGCGCCTTCGTCGACGGCCACCGCGTCACGAACAAGCCCGTCGTCGCGCCCAAGGGCTGCGACATGAAGCTGCCCATGCGCGACATCGGCGGCGACCGCGGCGCGCCCCACGGCTCGCTCCACGGGCTTTTGCTGGAGGCGCGCTACTGGCACGTCGCGCGGACGAAGCGGGAGCTGAAGGCGGAGGCCGGCGAGCTGCCGCCGGCGGACGCCAAGGCGAACGGCCTCGTCGGCTGGTGGACCTTCGAGGAGCACCGCGGGGGCTGGGCCCACGACCGCGCGGAGCTCCGGTACAGGTCCGCGATCCGGGGCTGGACGGACGCCAAGTCGGACGTGGACCCGGAGCTGACGCTGCGCTGGGGCGAGGCCGTGGCCCACAGTGGCGGCCTCGACCCGCCGACGCCGGCGTCCCTCGAGAAGGGCGTCTGCCAGGTCGAGCTCCGGCGGTGCCGTCTGGCCGCCAAGGGCCGCGAGGCCTTTGGGGTCGAGCTCTGCGACCGGGGCTGCGGCGCCGAGGTCATGCGCTACAAGCTGCGCATGCACAAGGAGTACGAGTGCCCCCTGCGGCCCGTCGTCTGCCCCCAGTGCGCGCGGGCCATGCCCTTTTCGGAGCTCGCGCGCCACGAGCGCGGCGACGCGACCCACGCGCCGACGTGCCCCGTGGTGGTGCAGCGCGAGGCCCTCGCGTCGAAGCACGCCGCGGGCGCCCTCGTCGTCGAGTGCTACCAGGGCTGCGGCGCCATGCTGAAGCGCGCGGACATGGACCGCCACCAGCGGCGCGACTGCGAGATGCGGCTGGAGGCGTGCCCGAACAACTGCGGCGAGTCCATCGCCCACTGCCGCATGAAGGACCACATCGCCAACTTCTGCGGGAACCCCTTCTTCGTCGCGCAGCGGCGCATGATCCGCAAGTACCGCCACGTCAAGAAGTACGCGCGGCCCTGGGCGACGGGCGACGACGCCAAGGACGTCGAGTACGTGAGCTCCGAGGACGAGTACTCCGACGACGACCGATAGTAGTACAAGGCAGCGCTTATTGGGTGGGGGGAGGTGGAGGGCGGGGGCGGGGGAACCGCGCTCACGACGGCGGCGCGTTCTTCGCGGCCTCCTGCCGGACGCGCTTCTTGTACTCGGCCTTGTCGGAGACGAAGAGCTGGTACGCGTCGCTCTGGGCGGGCGAGTTCGGGTTCGGCGTGTCGAGGAGGTCCTGGATGCCCAGGAGCATCTGCTTGATCGTGATCGCCGGCCGCCAGTCCTCCTCCTCGTTGAGGATGGACAGGCAGATGGTGCCCGACGGGTAGACGTTGGGGTGGAAGAGCGGCGGCACGAACTTGCACTTGGGCGGCTGCGACGGGCGCGCGCGCGGTCGGCGCGGAAGCGGCGCGGCGGGGACCGGCGATAGCGCGCGCGGGGCCCGCGGGGGCGCGCACCTTGGACGGGTAGTCGTCGGTGAACTCCATGGTCACCTTGTAGAGGCCGGCCTCCCAGTCCGTGCCCGCCTTGCCGGGGATGCCCGTCTCCCACCGCATCAAATTCGTCGAGTTGTCGGGGTTCGAGCCCGGCCGCGCGTAGAACCCGAAGGGGTGGTCCCTGCGCGGCGGTGGGCGCCGTCGAAGAGCTGGGCGCGCGTGGGTTCGAACGGCTCTCGGCGCTCGGTTCCGGACGCCGCGGCCGCGCCGGCGCCACGCCTTGCGCTCCTCGGCCAGACGTCCGCGCGCGATGCCTGCGGGGGGCGGCGTGGTGAGCGGTCTTCGTGGCCGCGGGTGAGCGAGGGCGTCCGTTCGAGTCGTCTCGTGCGGGTGGTTCTCTGTCGCGTTTCTCGAGCCGCGGCGTCGAGGGACGCGGCGCGAGACCGGCCATGATGCGGATTATGAAAATCGCCTCTGCTAACTTGAACACGTGTTTCCCTTTAGCTACTTCTAAGTTGACGCGCGGCGCTGCCCGAGGATTAACGATGGCCGAGGCCTGAGGCCCATCTCCTCTAAGAACGAGATGGCCGAGGCCGGCGCGCCGGCGCCGCCGGCGGCGTTGCTCGACGTGCCCGAGGGGCCGGAGCAGCTCGGCGTCCACACGCTGCAGACCTTCGGCGGGCGCAAGTCGACGCCCTTGAGCGATTTCAAGCTCGACAAGCACCGGAGCGGGACGCCCTACAAGCTCGAGGACGACCGCTGGGACCCGGATCACCGCGTCATCGGCGGCGTGTTAGGCAAGCACGGCCTGGACACGGCCGAGGCGGAATTCGCGCGCCGCGCGCGGCTCAACGAGTCGGACTACGGCGAGCTCGGCAGCCACGCGTCCGGCGGCACCGCGGGCAGCCCCGGCGGCGCGGGCAGCCCGCCGCGGCGCGTGTCCACGCCGGCGCACCACCCGCCGCGGCCGCCCCACGAGGGCGACTCCGACGAGGCCGCGTCGGAGCTCATGCTGACGACGTTCCCCTTGGACCTCCAGACGTCGCTGGAGAGCTCGACCGCGTCCGCGAAGCCCGCGGCGGGGCTCGACGTCACGGGCAGGGGCTGCTTCAAGCCGACGGCGCCGAAGATCGTGAGCAAGCGCAAGTCCAAGGCCGTGGTGCTGCGCGAGGGCGACGCGTCCGACGCCGCCGCCAGGGCAGGACAAGAGAGCGAAATTCCCAACTTCAAAGGCTCCTCTCTCGGCCGTTTTCCACTCGTTTCGGCTGATTTTTGGACGAGCGATCATCTCTCGGGACGGCCTCGAAGCGTGGATGCTTTTTCCGGAACGCGCGCGCGCGGAACACTCATGTTGAAGCGACGTTGAATCATCCTTGTCCTGCCCAGGCCGCCGTGGGTCTGTCGTCGCGGACCGCGTCCATCGAGTCCGCGCGGGCGCCGTCGCCGCGTTCGAGCCTGGCGAAGCCCAAGCTGCCGCCGCCGGGCGTCATCCGCTCCAACTTCGGCGCCGCGCTGAACATGCGGCCGACGACCGCGCCGGGGCCCCGGCGCGCGAGGAAGCTCGCGCCCGCCGGCGGCTCGCGCGTGGACCTCCCGCTCCGCGGCGCCGTCGGCGAGGAGCTCCTCCAGCGCGAGTCGTCGCCTTTATTATCGGCCACGGTCGGCGGCGCGCGCGACGCCGCGTCGCTGCGCCTCGGCCGCTACCTGCTGTCGCCGCCGCCGCAGGCGCTCCCCTGGTCGGACGCGCGCGCCGTCGGCGTCGGCGGCGCGGGCAACGGCGCCCACTCGGCCGCCGTCGACGACGTCGAGGCGCGGCTCCACATGGAGGAGGCGACGGAGGCGGGGCTGCGAGACGCGGACGCGCCCCACTCGCGCGTCGCCGAGGCGCGAAGGAGCGCCGAAGCCGCGCGGCCGTCGCAGACCGCGGCGCGCTTCTTCCTCGACAAGTGGCTGAAATCCTTCGACGCCGACGCCGACGCCGAGGCGGCCACGGCCCTGTCCACGCGCATGCTGAGCCGCTTCGAGCACGCGCGGCGCGTCCAGGCCGCGGAGGCCGACCGGTCCAACAACTCGAAGCGCCGGTCCGCGCTGCCCATCGGTATGAATGAGGGCAAGCGCGGCCAGATGAAGCTGCCCCCGACGCGCGGCACCGTGGCCCTCGCCTGCGAGACCTTCGACGAGATGGTCACGGCGCTCGGCGCGTCGCTGCCCGCTTTGGCGGAGCTCCGGTCCTTCGTCTACGAGGCCATCTTCCTCGAGGACTCGCGGCCCTACGAGGAGGCGGAGCGGCGGCCGGGCGAGGTCGGCTCCGAGGACTACTACACGGCGCGGCGCCTCTGGTGCGAGGGCGCGACGCTCGGCGAGCTCACGTCGCAGAAGGATCTCGTGGAGCGGCTGCGCATGGAGGCCGAGGGCTGCGAGGAGGAGCGGCGCGCCGCGCGCCAGGACGCCGACGACGCCGAGGACAACGTCCTCGCGGCCGAGGCCGTCCTCGACGCGCGGGGCGTCGAGGTCGACGCGTTGCGCGGCGATTTGCGCTTCGAGGAGGACAAGAACCGCATGCTCCGCGTGGAGCTCGGCGACGAGCGCGAGGCCCACAAGCGCACGTTCCAGTCCATCCAGGACCGCATCCGCGACGAGAACCGCAAGCGGCACAAGGAAATGGACGAGGAGCGCGAGAAGTGGCGCGTCGCGCGGATCCTGACGCTGGGCACGTACAAGGAGCTCGAGAAGAAGTTCCTCACGGCCGTCGGCGACTTCAACAACGCGACAAAGCGCGCCGACGAGGCGGAGAAGGTGTTGCACGCCAAGGAGGCGGAGTTCGACGAGTTCAAGAAGGCGGCCGACGGCGAGGCGATCCACGCCGCGGAGAAGCTCCGGAAGAACCGCTTCGAGCTCGAGAACCAGCAGAAGCGGGGCAACGACCTCTTCGAGGAGAACCTGGAGCTGCGGGCGAAGATCTCGGGGCTGAAGCCCGGCGCGGAGCACCGCGAGGCCGCGACGATCATCAACGATTTGGAGAACGAGAAGAAGGCGATGCGCGGCGAGCTCGCGAACGCGACGCTCCTCATGGACAAGGCCATCGAGGAGCGGTCCGCGGCCGAGGCCAAGCTCGCCGAGAGCGAGGCCGGCCACGAGGAGAGCAAGGGCACGGTCCGCGAGCTCAAGGTCGAGAACGACAATCTGCACCACGAGCTCGCGTCGCTCAAGGACCAGATCGGCCTGCTCGAGTACCAGCGCACGCAGCTCGAGGAGGAGCTCAAGCCCCACCGCCAGCGCGCCGCGGACGAGCTCATGGGCGAGAAGACGGCGGAGCAGAAGGCCGTCGAGGCGAAGATGGACGCGCTCGCCGGCGCGGAGAAGGAGCTCCGCGAGGAGCTCGAGGACGCGAAGCAGGCCCTCGTGTCCGTGCGCGAGGTCCACCGGGAGACGACGAAGATCGCCGAGCGCGAGCGCGAGGTCAAGCTGCAGAATTTGGAAGACCTGCTCACGGAGCACCTCGACTACGCCGTCGACGCCGCGCACGCGTCGGCGACGGCCGCGGCCGTCGAGTTCGAGCGGCGCGACGCGAAGCGGTCCGCCGCCGAGGCGTCCATCGAGGCGAAGCGCAACGTCCAGGTCGTCGTCGAGGAGCTCGAGGAGCACAAGCGCAAGCTCGAGTCGATGACGGAGCTCTACGACGGCGTCGTCCAGCGCTGCGCCGCGCTCGAGACGGGCGCCGACGTGCCCCCGGAGACGGAGGAGGCCAAGCAGGTGCGCGCGTCCTTCGCGTCCGGCCAGGGCCTGGCCATGTTCAAGAAGGCCGCGACGTCCGTGGCCGCGACGGTCCGATTGAAGAACCTCGTCGCCGCGCGGCGCGCCTCATCGGACGAGGCGCGCGCGGACGACGCGCCCGTCGCCGAGAAGGAGGCGCGGCGGCCGTCGTCGTTCTGCCTCCACGACCTCGACAACGCCGAGGACCGCGAGGAGGTCGCGAGCTTCAAGCTCTCCGCGGCGCTCCGCATCTCGATGCACCGCTCGAAGGACCGGAAGAAGAACCCCATGGGCAAGATCCACGGCCGCCACGAGGACGCGAACATCGACTTCAGCACGGGCTTGCTGGGCGCGGCGATGAAGCACGCGAAGAAGGGCCGGCGGCTGCAGCAGAAGGCCGACACGCCGGAGTCGGAGAGCCGCGAGCTCAACGTCGACGACTTCGCGGGCATGTCGGCCTACGACCCCGTGCCCATCAACATGTCGACCAAGGCCGCCGTGTCCAACATCGACGCGGCCTTCAACCTCAACGCGCTCGTCGCTCTGCCGGACCGCGCGGACGCGCCGCCCGTGCAGTTCGTCGACGCGCCCAAGGAGGTGGAGATCCGCGAGGTCGTCAGGACGGTCTACGTGCCCGCCCCGGCGCCCGCGGCCGTCGAGGCGCCCGCGGGCGTCTTCGGCTACAAGCCCGGCGACGTCTGCGAGGCGGAGCGGCGCGTCGTCCGCGAGGACGGCAGCGAGACGGTGAGCTGGCAGCAGGCCATCGTGACGCGCGTGCGCTACAGCGTGCGCTACTTCGACGAGCCCGACCCCGAGGACGGCGTGCTCGAGGGCCAGGCGACCTTCGACGATTTGTGCGACGCGTCCTTCGTCTCGAAATCCAAGGACGACGAGGGCCGGCAGATCTTCGGCAAGAAGCAGGACCGCGCGCCGCCCCTCGTCGCCATCAGCGACCCCGTGTCCCGGCGCTGGAAGCAGATCCGCAAGCACCTCGGGTCGAACCACCTCAAGTCGAACCTCGTGAAGCGGCCCGACGGCGGCGAGAACGAGTCCTACGACGACGCGGGCACGTTCGGCACCTTCGAGGAGGACGCGTTCGAGGCGAAGATCGCCGTCAAGGAGGAAGACGCCCTGCCCCGCAAGGACAAGCTCAAGCAGACCCACAACGTCGCGCGGGCCATGGTCCGCGTCAGGGTGGACGCCGCGACGCCGCGGGGACCCGCGCACTTCCGCTTCGGGACCGCGCCGGACGTCTTCCGCCACAAGCCGAGCCCCATCGCCGAGGAGCCGCCGCTCGCCGACGTGCCCGAGGCCGCGCCGCCGGCGGCGGCGCCGGCGACGGCCCTCGCGCCGGGGCCCGCGGGCGTGTCGCACTACGAGCGGGGCGTCACCGAGGCCGAGGCGACGGAGGAGTACGCGCTCGTCGAGGCCATCGTCCACCGCTTCGCCGACGGCACCTACGCCGCCGAGGTCGTCGAGGACGACGCGGGCCTCGCCGCCGGCGAGTGGATCGACGCGCTGGATCGGCGCGACATCTTCGCGCGGCCCGCCGAGGGCGACGACGTCTTCAGCGACGACGAGTCCGACGACGAGAGCGACGACGAGGAGATCATGGCGGAGATGACCGCCGAGGAGCAGAAGCGCTACGTCAAGGGCAAGACCATGGTGCGTTTTTTCGTTTTTTTCTTTCCATCGCAAACGTTCCCTCCCCCCGTCCGCAGGCGCTCCAGAAGAAGTACGCGCGGTCGCACCACCAGCACGAGCTCGGCTCCGTCGTGGAAGTCCAAATCCCCGGCACGACCAAGTGGAAGAAGGCCCAGGTCGTCGCCGGCGACGTCGACGCCCGCGGCGAGGGCACGTACCGCGTCCGCGTCGTCGCCGACCCCAAGGTCGCGCCGACGGCGAACGTCGCGCAGCGCCAGCAGGAGGTGCGCGCGTCCATGGCGTCGCGGCGGTCCGTCGCCCAGGTCGGCAAGCGCAACGCGTCCATAGTCGACGGCGAGCGGCGCTTCGGGTCGTCGAAGCGGAACCTCGCGGACATGCTCGCCGCGCGCCGCGAGATCGTGCTGCCGGAAGAGGCGCTCGAGGACCTCGTGACGAAATCGGGCGACCTTATGGACGGCCTCGTGGCGACGGGCATCATGGACACGGCGCCCGACGCCTTCGAGGCTCTGGCGAGCGCCGAGGAGCAGGCCGAGGCCGAGGACGTCTTCGAGGAGCTCGTCGTCCCGGCCAAGGACGTCTGCCAGGCTCTAAGCGACGAGTGGATCCCCATGCGCCTGTCGACGGTGCAGGCCGCGGAGATCGGGTCGGCGCTGAGCCGCGTGTCCCAGCGCGAGGCCCACGCGCAGGGCGCCCTCTCCGCGATGACGAACATCCTGCGGCAGCAGCAGGCCAACCTCAAGGACCGCGGCGACGCGGCCGACGCGGCCTTCCACGCTTTAAACACGGAGCTCGGCAAGGCGCGGCAGAAGGTGAGCCGCATGCGCCGGAGCTTCGACAGCGGCCAGGGCGGGCTCACGCTGAGCTTGGCGGAGCACTCGGAGAAGCTCGAGGAGCTGCGGGACACCATGGAGGAGCAGCTCAAGGCCGCCAAGGCCGAGGCCTCGGGCGACGTGGAAGCGAAGAAGGCGCTCGAGGAGGAGGTCTACAAGTCGCGCGTCGAAATCGCGAAACTCGAGGAGGACGTCGAGGCGGCCGAGGAGGCGTGCGAGTCCGCGGACCGCCACGTCGCGCGATTGGTGAAGAACGCCGCGGCGACGGAGAAGAACCTGGAGCAGCTGAACCAGCTGCGGGACAAGGTCGAGGCCGAGGTCCGCGCGGTCTATTCCGACGTGAGCTCGCGCGTGCCCATCCCCGTCGTCCGGAACAAGCTCAAGAAGATGATGCTCGAGCTCGGGGCCGCGCCGCCGGGCGACAAGACGATGAAGGCGTTGATGACCATCTCGGGCATCCAGAAGAAGTGGCGCGCGCGCCGCGCGAGGCGCCTCGAGGCGGAAGCCGCGGAAGCGAACGCGCTCAAGGCCGCGGAGGACGAGGTCGCGCGGCTCCGCGAGGAGCAGGCCATCGCCGAGGCCATGCAGTCGCAGATCATCGCCGAGGGCATGGAGCAGGGCAGCGTGCTCACGCACCACTCCACGGACGACGACACGGACCGGGAGTCGGACGTCGACGACGACGCGTCGACGGACACGGGCCAGCGCAAGAAGAAGAAGCACCGCAAGTTCCTCGACCCGCTGGCGGCCCAGCAGGAGGTGTCCCAGGAGCGGGAGCGCATGAAGGCCCAGCTCGAGGAGCAGCGCGAGCGCGACGAGGCCGCGGCGCGGAAGCGCGACGAGCTCGAGGCGAAGTTGCGGGAGGCGGAGGCGCGCGTCCGGGAACAGGAGGCGGCGAAGACGCGCGAGGACCAGAAGACGAAGGCGGCGATCCTCGCGTCCAAGTACCGCGCGGGCGCCGCCGCCGCGGAGCAGGGCGAGGAGATGCGCAAGCAGCAGTCCGTGCGCCACCGCGAGTCTCTAAAAATCGTCGAGCGCGCCAAGGCCGAGGAGACGGAGAAGCTCAAGGCGGAGCACAAGAAGCTCAACGAGGCCATCCGGCGCGAGTCCATCGCCCAGATCGACCGCGACGACGCGCAGAAGAAGCTCGCCCACGCGCTCGCGCGGTTGAAGGACGCGGAGGACCGCGCGATCAAAGCGGAGCGCGAGCTCGAAAAGAACCCGCGCGTCGTCGAGAAGGTCGTCTACAAGGAGGTCGTCAAGGAGGTGGTCGTCGAGGCGCCCTCGGCGACGGCGGAGCACCAGTCGTCCCTCGAGCACGAGCTCCTCGTCGCGCGCGCGCCGTCGCCCGCGCCCGAACCCGCGGCGCGCGCGATCCACCTGCCCGACGACGACGACGTCAAGGTCAAGGACGTCGCCGAGGAAGAGGCGGACGACGAGGACGAGGAAGAAATCGACGACGGCCGCGACGAGGGCGACGTCGGCGACGACGTGCTCCAGGCGACGACGTCGCTGTCGCACTACCAGTTGGCGTCGGAGGCGCGCGAGCTCTCGCAGAACATCCTCACGGAGGAGGCCGCGCTCCGCGACCTGAAAGCCTCCGGCGAGCGGAGCCGCTTCGTCGCGCGGCGCGTCAAGGCCATGGAGGCGGCGCTGGAGAAGAAGCGGCGGCGCCTGAAGCGGATCGGCTGGCGGATCCCGCTCATCGACAGCCACGGCGTCTGCGACGTGGCCTTCGAGTACCGCGCCTACGACGTCGTCGACCAGCGCGACATTTTGTTCGAGATCAACGGCGCCCTGCGCAAGAACTTCCACGCGAAGATGCACGACGTCGAGCAGTCGATCTCGCGGATGTCGCGCGCGAACTTTGTGGCCGAGAAGGAGCGCGACCAGGAGGCGCTCCGCCGGGAGAACGCGGAGCGCGTCATCGCGGCCATCAAGGTCGAGCTCGAGCAGGCCAAGGCCGACGACGACCGCATCTTGCTGTTGTGCGACGAGACGGGCGTGCCGCCGACGGAACTGTTGCCGAAGTTGGTGAAGACGCTCCTCGCGGAGCGCAAGGCCATGGTCGACGTCATCGACGAACTGACCCTCTGGGAGAACGACGTCGTCGATTTGTGCGGCCTGAGCGACGCGGCGTCGAACCGGACGGGCCGGCCGTCGACGGCGAGCGCGGCCGTCCACGCGGACGCGCAGATGTCCGTCTTCGAGATGACCGGCGACGACAAGGGGCCCCTGGCGCTGCACAAGGGCCTGGACCCGAGCAAGTACAAGCTCTCGTCGCTGCCGCCGAAGACGAAGGCGCGCGCCGCGGCCGCGCGGCCGTCGACGGCGCCGTCCAAGGCGTCGACCGTGACGACGCCCGGCCTCGGCGGCTTCCGCCTCGCGCCCCTCGACGCGCTGGCCCAGGACTCCCTGGCGTCGACGGACCCGGACGTCATGGTCGTCCACGGCCTCGAGGGCGAGGCCGTGCCGACGACGACGCTCGAGATGCCCGCGGGTCCCCGGAGGGACGCGCCCGCGCCGCCGTCGCCGCGGCGCGTCATCTTCGAGGAGCCGCCCACGGAGGCGGACGTCGGCGCCGTCGTGTCCGAGGCGCTGCGCGACTCGCTCACGGACACGATCGCGCCCATCCTCGAGGAGCACCTGCGCGTCGTGCCGTTCTTCCGCGAGGAGATGAAGCGGCGGCTGTTGTTCGGGACGTCGTGGCGCAAGCACAAGGAGTTCTTCGAAAACGCCGACCCGCTCGTGCTCGCCCACGTCGAGCGGAACGCGCGGCTGCTCAACAAGAACCTCAACGTGCACTCCAAGGCGGCCGAGGCGCTCAACGACAAATTGGAGCATTTGCTGGCGAACCAGGAGGCCAAGGACGCGGAGAAGGCCGAGTTCTTCTACCTGAAGCGGTCCCTGGACACGCACGGCAAGCTCTCGAAGCCCCTCCAGGACTGGGCGAAGACGCACGTCTCCATGCTCAAGCGGCCCGAGCTGTCCCAGGCGCTCGGCTCGCGACGGCACCGGCCGCTGGAGACGCTCGTGCAGCGGCCCCACTACCAGCCCGAGCGCGACGTGCTCAACGCGACGGTGCGCGAGCGGCCGCCCATCGGCGACGGCGACGGCATGCCGTCGATCCGACGATCCGGGGACCCGCTCCCGGACGACGACGCGGGGACGCTGGCGCAGTAAGGCGTTTGCGTGAAGTGGGTGTTGAGGGCTGCCACACAGCGGCGCTGGACCAGGGCGGTGCGGGAGAGCGTTCCGGAGGTCCTTCTCGTCGACGTGCATGGCGGACCGCGCCGCCGCCAACCTCGCGGTGGCTCAAAAAATCCTCGAGGCGAAGCGGAGGTACCCTCGCCTCTGCGCCGACGCGCGCGCGGTGCTCGTCCGCATCCCCACGACTTACTGGCCAGACGAGTATGTGGTGTCCTATTTTCGCACCTACTACCTGCCGCCAGACCCGGACGAGGTGCAGGTCGAGGTGCTCCGGCGATTCGCTGCCGTGCCCAAGAACGAGCGCTTCTCATTGAGAATCGTGAACGGGTGCTTCACGAACATCCTCAAGGCCGTGCGGCGCGAGCGGCGGCGGCGAGAAGGAGCCGCGCCGCCGCCGCCGCCGCCACCACCGCCGGGACCCGCGCCTCCTCCACCGCAGCCGCCGCAACCAGGAGCCGCGCCGCCGGCGGCGTCGGCCCGCAGCCCGCCGCGGCCCCGAAGCCCGCCGGCCGCGGACGCGCCGTCGGACGCCGAGTGGCTCCTCCGGACGCTGTCGGCGGAAGCCTCCCCAGGCGACGTCGAGAGGGTCAACGCCATCTGGCGCTCGGATCTGTGGGAGCAGCACAAGATGACGCCGGACGAGTGCTTCAGCCTCCTGGTGAAGGCGTCGGCGGACTCGGCGGGGGTTTCTCTAGCGGACAAGTTTGAGGAACTCGTCGACGGTCTCTCTCGCGCGCGGCGCCAGGCCGCTCCGGGGGCTCCGGGCACCACATTCTTCGCGATCTCCGCGTCGATGCTCGGGACCTACTTCCACTTTGAGTGCCCGCGGCTCCTCCACCGGCTCGCGACGCGGACGCGGGGCCGGGCGCGCCGGAGCGAGCCGCTTCTCGGCGGCGAGCCGCCGACGGACGCGGACGTCTCCGAGGCGGCGGAGCGCCTCAACTGGAGATCGCTCGTCAGCGGCCGCGGGGCGGATCACGAGCGCTGGATCAACGACCAGCTCCAGAACCCGGGGCTCGCGACGCGGTCCTGGTTCTCGCCCGAGGGGGAGCGCCGCGACGACGCGCCGGCGCGGTTCCGCTTCGTCGACGTGGAGGCGCTCGCCAAGGAGCGCTGCGGCGAGGAGCACCGGAGCGAGCGCTTCTGGCGCACCTACGACGAGATCTCGCTGAAGCTCCTGCGCACCGCGCCCGTGGGCACCGCGCTGTGGCAGCCTTCGCTGAACGCGGAGGTCATCGACAAGGTCTACGAGGCGCTCGGTCTGGCCGGGGCGACGGCCATCGACCTGAAGCGGTCGCTCCTGGACTACGCGCTCGTCGTCGAGGACCCGAGGACCGGCGAGCGCGCCGTCGTCGTCGTCGACGCGAAGGCGAGCAAGCGCGTCGAGCTCGCGCATCAGGTCCAGGTCGTCTTTTACAGCATCCTGGTCGACGTCGTCCTCTCGGACCTCCCGGGGTCGGCGCTCTCGGACCTCCCGGGGTCGGCGCCCGTGTCCAAGGTCGGGGGCGTCTGGATCGCCTCGGAGCCGGCGCCGCGCATCTTCGAGGTCGCCGGGCTCCGGGCCGCGCTCCGCGACTTCCTCCGCGGCAAGGTCCGGAGGTGGCTCACGGCCGAGGCGCTGTCGCGTCCCGCGGACCAAGATCAGGACTGGGTCCTGCACGGCGCCTGCGCCATCTGCGAGCACCGGCGCGACTGCGAGGCCCAGGCCGTGCGGGAGAAGCGGCTCTGCGCGCTGCCCAACTGCAAAGACCGGGACCTCGAGGAGCTCAACCGGGCCGCGCGGGCAGTACCCGGGGACTACACGGAGCTCGACCGCCTCGAGGCCTTCCTCAAGGGCGGCGGCGCAAGGACCGAAGACAAGGGCGTGCGAGGCGCGCTTTCGCGCGCGCTCCACCTGGAGTACGAAGACGACGACGTCGCCGCCGCTTACGTCACGCCGCCCAAGCTCCGCGCCCTCAAAGACGGCGAGGCCGTGCTGACCGGCAGGCCGAGCGTGGCGCTGCCGTACCGCCACCATCAAGAGGCGGGCGCGATCGTCTTCGCCATCGACACAAACTTCCGCACGATGGCGCCCTCGGCGTACTGCGTCCGCTTCGTGCCGGGGGACCCGGCGGAGGCTCCGACGGTGTGGAGCCACGTCGTCCCCCACGAGGCCTACGACGGCGACGTGCTCGCGGGCGCTGCCACGGACGCCGCGCGAGATGTCCGCCTCCGGCTCGTCGCGGACGTCTACGGCGCCCTGGAGCTCTGCCGCGGGAAGCGCGTCGTCGTCTGCTGCGCCGAGGCCGTCGACAAGACGTCGCTCTTCGACGCCGTGCTCCGCGTCGCCCTCGGCGAGTCGAGCGCCGAGGCCGCTGCCAAGGCGCGGCTCGTCATGTCGGCTCTCGGCGCGGAGCCGATGCACCTGCTCATGGAGAGCCACCACCCCGCGATCGCCTCCGGCGCCGACCCCGCGGAGGCGGCCCAGTTCCTGCCGCGCCTCGCGGTCCTCGTCGCCGAGGCCAAGACGCTCTTCGACGTGCCGTCCGTGCGCGCGACGACGTTCGAAAACTTCTGCGCCTACTTGCCGGTGGAGGACGACGGCGAGACGCGCCGCGACCTCGGCGCCGTCGCCGCGGCCTGCGATCGCGACGCCGTCTTCCGCGTCTGGGCGCTCCAGGGCCCGGACCACCTCGCCGGCCGCGACCTCGACGCCGACATCCGGGACCGCTGCGTCGCCATGCTCGTATCGCGGACCGAGTGCGCCCTTTTCCTCCTCCACGGCATGCGCACGCGCTGCCGCCCGGCCGGTCGCGCGGACGCGATTTCGACGCAGGATCTCGACCCGGCGGCCGCCGCTCGCGAGTTCCGCTACACGCCGTTCAAGGCCGCGACGATCCACCTCGACGCGTCCGCGGCGGTGGCGCACCCGAAGCTCAGCGCTCTCTGCTTCCTCACGGAACTCGAGACGGCGACGAGCATCTACGCGCACCGGCACGAACGCGCGAGGAGCCTCGAGGACCTCGTGCAGCGCGACAAGGTCGCCGTCGTCCGGCTCGACGGCGCCACGACCGAAGTCAGACGGGACGTTGAGGGCTCGTTCCGCGTCGAGCGCGGCGCGGCGCCCCGAGAACCCGACTCGATGAAAAACAAGCGCTGGATTCTCGCGCCGGTCTCCCAGGGCGGCGCGGTGCTCGCACTCAAGTTCGCAGACTTTGAGAACAGGGACAAGCCCGCCTACAAGCTGCAAACGACCCTGCCGATTCTCTTTGCGAGTGTCGTCGGAGTCAGCGAGGGCTCCTGCCGTCTCTCTGTCAAGCACAGCGCGAGCGTTAGCCTGGACCCCGACGAGCGCTACGTGCTCGTCAAGCGCTACACCGATTTTACGTCAGTGCCTATGCTGGGAGAACTCAAACGCTGCGCGGACGCTCCGGGCGACGAGCTCTTCGTGAAACTTCTTGACGGCGCGAAGGACTGGTGCGATGTCGAGCCTCGCGACTGGAGCGAACTCGACGCTGCGATCCCGCGGGACACCGGGGCCACCATGTCCCAGGAAGAGGCGCTCCGGCGCGTCGTGAAGTCTCGAGGCTCGGTGACGCTCGGCCCCCCGGGAGCGGGCAAGAGCCATTGGGCCGCGTCGACGCTCGTCCGGCTTTGCGAGGGCGCGTCGGCCGCGCCGACGCTTCCACCTTTGAAGATTATCGTGACTGCCGTGACGCACTCGGCCGTCGATGGCCTCTTGAAAAAGATCGTAGCCATGGTGGCTGCTCGCCGCGCTGATGTGCAAGTGCTCAAGGTTGATAATGTAAACAACGAACCGCCAACCGCGGCTGGAGAGCTCTGCTGGTTCAGTCCAAGCGGGAGAGGCGTCAACGCCCGGACCCGGCGGAAGGGCGAGGTCGTCGCCATCTCGGGAAACGAGTTCACCGTCCGCGCGGAGGGCGGGGGCGTGCAGCCGCCCCTACCGAAGAACGCCGTGCGGCTCCGCCGCGAATTCGATATCCTCGACGCGAAGTCGACAGCCGAGGACGTCAACGCGCTCCTCGCTAACGACCGCTGCCTCATCGTTGGCTGTACAGTCTTTAAGGTGGACAAGACGCTGGCACAGGCGGGCGTGACGCGCGCGTGGGACGTGCTGCTCGTCGACGAGGCGAGCCAGATGCTCGCGTCGCAGGCGGCGCTCGCCGTCAAGGCCCTCGACGCGGAGCACGGCCGCCTCGTGCTCCTCGGGGACCACAGACAGATGCGGCCGACGATCAAGACGCCTCTCCCGGACGGCGTCGGCGTCGAGATCTCGGGCTCGATCCTGGACGTCGTCCGCCACCAGCTCCGCGGCACGGGCTGCGTCGGCGCGCTGCGCGAGAATCATCGCATGAGCGCGGAACTCTGCGCCTTCACGGAGGTCGCGCTGGGCTATTCCGGCTACCACATCTGCTCTCGAGGTGGCTGTCGGTGTCGGATGGCGGCGGCGGTACCCGCGGGCGACGACGCGCTCGTGGCCAGGCGAACGGAGGAGCTCCGGGCGTCCCCGAGCCGGTCGCGCGCGACGGCCGGCGACATCCTCGACGTCGCGAAGCACTTCACCGTCGTCCTCGTCGACATCCCGCCGACGGCTTCCATGGCCGAGATCCGCGCCGCCGAAGCGTCTCTGTGCTCGCGGATCCTCGCCGCGCGCGACCGCGTCGTCGCCGGGACGGCCCGCGGCCGCGGCGCGTTCTGCGTCTGTCCGCATCACGCCCAGCGCCACGCCGTCGGCGACGCCCTCGACGGCGCGCTCGCCGCGCTCTGCGACATCGACACCGTCGAGCGGATGCAGGGCCGCGAGAAGGACCTCGTCGTCGCGTGCTTCGCCGGCCTCGACCTCCTGCCCGACGAGGAGAGCGCCGAGCTCGACTTCGTCTACGAGGCGAGCCGGCTCGTCGTCTCCCTGTCTCGCGCGAAGCGGAAGACCATCCTGCTCGCGACGGAGCGCCTCTTCGAGCCGAGCTTGCACGTCTTCGACACCCCGCGCCGCCGCGAGGCCTTCACGCTGCTCAAGCAGGTGAAGGACTACGCGGAGGAACGCGGCTGGGTCGTTCGTCCACCACGAGCGACGGGGAGCTCGCAAGGGGACGGCGGTGGTGGCGGGGGCGGGGGCGGCGGCGGCGGCGGCGACGACGACGGCGGCAGGGGCGGCGGCGGCGACAACGGCGGCGGCGGGGGCGGCGGCGCGGGCGGCGGCGGCGACGACGGCGGCGACGACGACGACAGGACGCGGCTCGACGACGACGCCCAGATGTCCCAGGCGCTCAGCCAGAGCCTCAGCCTCACGGAGAACTTCGGAGCCGACAGCTCGCAGCCGATGGCGCGCGACGACGACGACGACGACGGCGACGACGACGACGACGACAGGACGCGGCTCGACGACGACGCCCAGATTTCCCAGGCGCTCAGCCAGAGCCTCAGCCTCACGGAGAACTTCGGAGCTGACAGCTCGCAGCCGATGGCGCGCGACGACGACGACGACGACGACGTCACGAGCCTCGGCGACAGCGAGGAGGAGATGGTCTCCGGCGCCGTCTACGTCGACGACCGCGACGAGGATCTGTCGCCCGTGGACCCGTACTCGGGCCGAGTTCCGCGCGACTCCCAGCCCTGGACGCCGACGAAGCGCGACCGCGACGACGGCTCCGAAAGCGAGGACGACGATGAAGACGACGGCGAGGACCGCGGCGCGGGCGGCGCCGCCGCGTCCGACTCGGACGACCTCTTCGAATCGGACGACATCTGGCTGGACCGCCACGCCGGTCGACCGCCGCGCCCGGAGACCCCGACCTCGAGCAAGCGCGTGCGCCTGGACAACGGCGACTCCCGAAGCGACTGGCTCCCGCGCCTCGCCTTGCCCGCGGCTCCCGCCGCGTCGGCGCCCCGCGAGTACCGCTGCAGCAAATGCGGACAGCCCAAGAGGGGGCACAAGTGTACCGCCGCGGGCTAGGCGACTGTGTGTTGTTTAATTGGTTTTCTTCTTCTGGGCCACTGGCAAGCCTCGCGCTGGGGCGGCCCGGGCGCTCTGCGGGAGAGCAACTCACGGAGCACGCGCTCGACCATTCCCCACTGGCCCGGCGAAACAACACTTACAAGTCACAAGTACGGTAGTACGATTCGAGGGCGAAAACCACGGGGTCGTGGTCGGAGAGGTTGTTCGCTACGAATATTTTTCGGTGCTTGGCATGAGCTTTGGCGTCCCCCCCAACATACTCCTGGTAGAACTTCTGGTGCATGCGTCCGAGGGCCTCGCGCTGAGCGAAGTTGCGATGATCGAGCATCGCGCGCAAAGGTCCAAAAGCAATGCCCCAATCAAGTTCCAGGTCACGGTGAACCATTTCATCATACACTTCACATTGTTCCGGAGAAAGGTTCATGTCGCCGAGCAGAAAGATGCGGCGTCCAGAAGCTTCGGCGTACCGACGCAGCAACCTATCAATCTCTGCGAATCTTCCAATTCTGATTGTCGCCGTGCCCGATCTAGCCGCAAAGAAATGCATGTTGATGATCAAACGACCATCGACGTCCACGATCAGAGACCGAGTCTTCAGCTCGTGAAGAGCGCGGCGAATATAAACCGTCATCTTGCCCATGGACGGATGGATGTCAAAACTTCTCCGAATGTCATCCACTGTGTCCACTGTAGCGTCAGCGAGTCTACTCGCCGTGCTTGTCAGGTTTCGCCAAAAGGTCGCAAGATAGCCTCTGGTCTCTTCGCGGCAGACTAAATGCCAATCCCCGCGCTGCTCGCCCGTCGTTTGCCGGAGCTCGACGTTGTCTGCAAAGGCTTGCGGCAGAACGAGCTCGGGCGCCACGATGCCCGTGCACGTGACGCTCGCGATTCCCTGGACGGCGATTTCTTCAGAATTGGCCGTCGTGATCGTTTGGGAGACCACGGCCGCTGTATCCTCATCGTCGACCTTGATGCCATACTTGGCCGTCACGCCAAGCGCCGACGAGTCGCGGGCGCCGAGGCGCCGGCAGGCGTCGGCGAACTCGAGCTTGACGATGGAACTCGCCTCCACGCCTGCGGCCCCTGCGATGGTTTTTTTGAAGGCGCGCTTGTTCGCGTTCGCGGTCTCGACGTCGACGCCGAGGAAGGACATCTCGCCCAGCAATCCGCACTCCGGTGAGATCCGTTTCAGCAGGCTCAAGGCGAAGCCTCGTGAGCCCGCCTCCTGAATGCACAAGACGTTGCAGCTCGCAAAATCCCTGATGAGATTTTTGGAGAAGTTTCGGGCCTTTGCAACCTTCGCCTTCGAGTTCGGGGACGTCAGTTCCGGCACGGACCGTCGGGACTCCGGTGTCTCGGGCTCAGCGTCATGGGAGGTCTTCGTTGGCGTGGCCATGAGCTCCCTTGCATCACTGCCATCAGATGAACCCAGGCTCAACGTTTTTGCACCAGACGCGGAGATGCCTCCGACGTTGTGCGTACAGATCCGGTAAACTGGCGTCGCACCTCGAAGCGGATCGGTCTCTTCTTGGTCCTCGAGAGAGATCGCTGCTGCGTCGCTAGCGAGAGCATCCATCGTAGACAAAGTGATGCCTGGTGATTGAGCGCGAGGCAGCTAACTTTTGCGTCCGTCGACCTTCATTTCGCGCCGCTCCCGGAGAATCACACACCGCGCGGGATGCATCGAGTCGCATGGTTGTGGCTGCATGAGGACGCTCACGGCATGACGCTGCTGACATGACACGCGCCGCGCGCCTCCGTTCCGCGCGACACGCGCGGCGCCATGTCGCAGCTTGGGCAAGCGAGGCAAATTGCCCTTCAAGTCGCACTCAATATGAACTGCATTACTCAACACTCGGCGTGCGCGCGCTAGCTATGGGCGGGCTAAGTTGTCGCCTGTCGATGGAGGGCCGCCGGCGGCGACGGCGCCGCGACCATGGAGGACCGACAGTAAGGTGCAATACCCCTAGCAAGCAGACCAATGCGAGCGATGCTCAGGCCCACGTTGGCGCATTGGTTCTTCGGAATGCCGCGCACGGAGGCCTGAATTTTGAGGGTTACGGGGCGAAGTTGGTCGTACAGATTGTTGATCTCGCGTGCGGGGACCTCGTTTTCGACCAACACCAAAACCAAACCAGCGTAGAATTGTCCACTCTCCGAGTCGACTGCTTCCTCAAAATATTTCTCGACGTTGACGATAAGGCGCTGTGTTTCCGCCGTTTTCCAATCGAGATTATGGCCATTATTTTTGCACTTGACGTACTTGACCTCGATGAATGTCCGGCCGCGGAAATCCACCGGCCATGGCCATCCCGTATCATCGCGCAACTCAAAGGCGAAGTCTGTCCGGGAATAAGAGGCTCCATGAGGGTCTGGAGTGTCATAAGCATAGTGGGTGCCTCTGAATACCTTCACTTCCTGGAGCGCATTCATGATGACCGCACATGCTCCGTTCTCGTTTTTGTCCCCCACCTTCTTGCCCGCCCATTCGTTCAGGCTCTTGGTGAACGTGTGCAGGTTGTGCAGCACCTCCTCGCCCAACTTCCTCAGGAACTTCACATTCTCGGCGACGCGAAGCACTAATTCCTCGGGATCTTCTGCGCATTCGTAGCGCGCCCGCATATGCGTCAACTTCAGTTCTGTCGCGTTCAGCTTCCGCGTCAGGGACTGGTTCTCGATGTCCAGGCGCGTGTTCTGGTTCACCAAGTCCCGCGTCGGCGCTTCAAATTTGCGGAAGAAGTCTTCAAAATGGCCGGCGACCGCTTTGACAATTTTTTCCAAATTTTTGTCAGTGACGTCTTCGCTCACCGGATTGCTCTTCAGCAGCGTGCGAAGGTCAATCTCCTGGTTGCTGCGGATGAATGTGGGCATCTGCGCCGGCGCGGGCGAGGTCGACGAGGTGGCCGCGTCGGCCGCGCGCGCGCCGTTGGCGCGCCGCGCGCCGCCGGCAGCCGTGCGTAGTTTCTTGCCGGGGGGTTCCGCCGTGTCGTGCACCGACGACGGCTGCAGCGCCGCTGGCCCCGCACGCGCCGCGGCCGCCGCGGCCGGCGCCGGCGCCGGCGGCGCGGCCGTCGGCGCGGCCGCGGCCACGGCCGCGGCCGCCGCCCCGGACCCGGGCAGCGTCGCCGCCTGCAACACCTGCGGGTGGCTCCACATCGCCTTGCCGATCTGGCCCTTCATTTCGTCCACGTCGCCACCCGCCTGCTGCGGCGCGAGCCAGCGGTTCCAGGTTGTTTTGCAGGAAGGAAGTTTGACCAGACGCCCCTCAGACGTCTTCATCTTGTACTGGTACTCGTGGAAGACGACCTTGCTGTTCGTGTTCGTGACCCCGGTGATCACTCCGACCTCCTGCCCGTCTTGATAACCGAGCGACTCCGGCAGCTGCCCCTTCATGACCTTCGCGCCGTCATCATACGTCCACGAGACGCTCGAGTCCAGCTCATCATAAGGGTATTTTACTCGCTTCGTATTCTTGCGGACGTACGAATACTTCTGCTTGTCGTAGAAGACTGTTTCACCCTCGCCATCCTTCCCGACAGCCAACATAGTGACCGCCATGAATTAGAGGCGCCCAGAGTTAAAATAGCTTGGTTATCGGGCTACTTTAGTAAAATAGCTTTCTTATTGGGCTACTTTAGTATCCGTGATGGAATTTAATCGCGATGGTCTTTGCCAACTTCGATATAGCGGCTCTCGTACTTTTCCGCATTGGTTATTATAGAAAGAAGATGGGGCCCGATTGCCGAGGCCTCGGCGCAGCCTCCCATATGCTCGCTCCACATGGAAGTCTGCCGATTGCGCACGCACTGCAACAACCTCTTCTGACAACCAAGGCAGCAAAGGGAAACCTAACCTTAAGCCAGCAGCGGGTCCCCCTCCTCCCCGACGAAGAGCGCCTGGACCTCGTTGAGGGACTTGTGCCGCGTCTCGACGACGAAGAAGAACACGAAGGCCGCGGACGCGAAGCAGAGGCCCGAGAAGATGAAGAGGACGCCCGGGATCGTGATGAGGCCGGAGACGACGTCGAAGGACTCGATGAAGCAGAACGTGATGCCCCAGAACAGGATCGTCGCGGAGCCCATCGCGCGGCCGCGGATCGCGTCCGGGAAGACCTCGGACGCGTAGACCCAGGACAGCGTCGACAGGCCGAGCGTCACGGCGGCGATGAAGCAGTCCGCGGCGAGGATCGCGAGCAACCCCGCGCCGTTCGCGGACGCCGCGCCCATCGCCGCGAGCGCCGCGCCCGCGCCCAGCGCGGACGCGAGCAGCAGCGGCCGGCGCCCGAAGGCCTGGATGACGCCCGCGGCCATGGCCAGCGCCCCCACGAGCTGCGTCGCCGCGAAGGACACGGCGCCGAGCGTCGCCGCGTCCGCGGACGCGCCCGACGCCTCGAGGATCACGTCCATGTAGGCCTGGATGACGTTGTTGCCCGTCGCGACGAAGCAGACGACGACGCCGACGCCGGCGACGACGGCGCGGGACCGGAAGCTCCCCTCGCGGGCGCCGCCCGGGGCCACGGCGACGGCGTCGTCGACGAGCTTCGCCGACGCCTTCGAATCGCCGTAGAGGGCCGCGGCGACGGCGCGCGCCTCGTCGGCCCGGCCCTGGGCCGCGAGCCAGCGCGGCGACTCGGGCACGAGGCCGCCGGCGATGCAGGCGCCGGCGAGGAGCGCCGGCGCGCAGCCCAGCGCCGCCATGACGCGCCACCAGCCGCCGTCCGCGCCTCGCACGCCGAGCGCGAAGACGAGCAAGATGCCCGTGGAGATGAAGACGTTGAAGAGGCCGCCGAGCGGCCCCCGCAGGTCCGGCGGGCTCAGCTCCGTCACGTAGACGGGCACGCCCACGGACGTCGCGCCCATGGCGACGCCCGTGATCGCGCGGCCGGCGACGAGCCCCGCGAACGACGTCGCGGCCGCGATGGTCGCGTAGCCCACGGCCCAGATGGCCGAGACGAGCAGCAGGTAGCGCCGCCGGCCGACGAGGTCCGTCGCGCGCCCGGCGCCGAGCGACGCGACCATGGCCGCGAGCGGCGCGACGGAGGCCACGAAGGCGCCGCGGGCGCAGAGGTCGTCCGTCGGGCAGAGGTCCGTCGCGGAGATCATCGCCGACAGCGTCGAGCCCGTGAAGGCCACCGTGTAGCCGAAGAGGCCCGCCTGCAGATCGATGATGCAGGCGCGCCGGAAGTGGGCCGAGCCCGCCATCGTGACGACGCAGCCCCGATGGCTTCACCGAAAGATGAGTGACAATGTTGACGCTCTTAAAAAAAGCATCGATCGAGGGTTGCCGCAGCCTGATGTCGTGCGAGGACGTCGTCGCGCCGTGCCAGAATGTGCTGTGCCAGGACGGCTCGCAGACCGCCACGTTGTGCTCGAGCGCCGGTAAGCATCCACAAAAAAACGGCAGCAACCATAACCCACGCACTCTCTCCTAGGCAACGTGAGCGTCAGCGAGTTCCAGCGCGTCGACGAGACCGCCGACGCGTCGCGCGCGGAGCAGCGCGCGTCGCTCCGCTGGGCCATGCGCCTCAGCGAGTGGACCCTCGCCGACGCGCCCGCGGTGTCCGCGGAGTTCGACTTCCTGCTGCGCTTCGTCCGCGAGGAGGGCGAGCGGCGCGCGGTCTTCAAGTTCGAGCGCGACGACGACCGGCGGCGCGCGCTCCTGTCGCGCCTGCTCGCGCGCGCGGCCTGCGCCGAGGCCCTGGGCCTCGACCTCGACGACGTGCGCGTCGCGCGGACGCGCGGCAAGAAGCCGTACCTCGCGTCCGCCGCGAAGAGGCCCTGGGCGCCGAATTTCAACTTCAACATCAGCCACGAGGGCGACTACGTCGTGCTCGCCGCCGAGCCCGACGCGCTCTGCGGCGTCGACGTCTGCGCGGCGGACGGGCCGAGCCGACGGGCCGAGCAGACCTCGCTCCTACGGGAGCTCGAGAGCCTGCGCGACTGCTTCACGGACGGCGAGTGGGCGCGCGTCGAGGGCGCGCCCGACGACGCGGGCCGGCGGCGCGTCTTCTCCGCGCTCTGGAGCTGCAAGGAGGCCTACGTGAAGGCGCGCGGCGACGGGTTGGCCTTCCCGCTGCGGCGCGTCGAATTCGACGAGGCCGCGCCCGGCTCCTGGGCGACGCCGGCGGCCTGGCTCTACGAGGAGACGCTCCAGGCGCGCTGCGCCGTCGACGGGACGCGCGACGACCGCTGGCGCTTCGAGTCCGTCGCGTTGGACGCGACGCACGTCGTCACGGTCTGCCGGGGCCCCGTCGGCGAGGCGCGCGACGCGGAGGGCAAGTTCGCGGCGACGCTCCGCGACGGCGCCAACGCGGCCCACGCGCCGACGGGCCTCGAGCGCTGCCCGCCCTTCCGGTTGCTCCGCGTCGAGGACCTCGTGCCGAAGAAGCGCCGCGCGGAGTTCGCGCGCGTCCGCGGCGGCGCGGCGCTCGACGCGAAGAACTCCTGCGCCGCGGCGCTGCGCATCCTCCGGCTCGACGACGACCCGCCGGCGCCGCCGCCGAAGAAGCCGGGGATGACGCCGCGGCGCGAGCGGCGGAGGACGCTCAAGCGGTGGGACCCGCTCGGCGACGACGCCGCGTCGGCCACGGACCTCGCGGGCCTCGTCCGGGGCGACGGGCCCGACGACGACCGCGTCGTCTGCTCCGACGTCGTCGCCGCGGGCCGCTTCTGCTCGGGCGTGCCGTCGCGCGCCGCGGACCCGACGGTGCCCTGCGCGATCATGTAGCCTATTTTTACGCGGTGCGCCCTAGATGCAGACGCGGTAGGTCACGTAGCGGCCCGCCGTCTCCGACGGCCGGACGATCTTGATGACCTCGCCGACCTTGAGGCCGTAGTAGCGCGCGACGGGGTCGTTTTTCTGGATCCGCGGCAGCTGGCTCTCCTTGAGCTTGTAGCGCTTGAGCAGCGCCGCCTTGTCCTCGGGGCTCAGGGGCTGGTGCGCGGGCACGAGCTTGTGCTCCGTGATGTCGACGAGGAGCTCGTTGTCGCGGAAGTGCTCGATGAGGTACATCGACGCCATCTCCTGGAGCGCCGTCTTGGCGAAGGGCGTGATGCCCGCCTTGACGACGAGGATGGCGTGGGACACGGAGGCCTCCTTCATCATCTCGCAGTACTGCTTGATGGTCTTGACGCCGACCTTCTCCTCGTCGGGGAGGAAGATGAAGACCTGGTCCTCGGCGTCCGTCTCGTGCTCCGCGAGGATCGTCAGATCGGTGCGCTTCGGCTGCTCGCCGAACTGCTCCTGGAAGGCCTCGCTCGACATCTCGAGCTGGGCGACGTCGACGACGTAGTTGCGCTTCTTCAGCATCTTCAGGAGCGTGCGCCGGATGCGGAAGAGGTGGCTCGCCTCCGCGGAGAGCATGGACGCCATGGCTTTGTTCGGGACGGCGCGGCGCCCGGGGGCGCGCGCCGGCGGGCGCAGGGGGCAGCGGCCGCGGGCGGTTTCGTCGAGGCGCACGGCGCGTCGAGCAACTAGAGGGCGCAAGCGACCTTGGCGGCGATGCACCTCGCATCCACGCAGCGGCTCCTTCACCCTTGCCCCGACGCGAAACATCATCGAAACGCTGCCCCGCGCCGGAGAGCGCCCGCAGGACCGCGCGCACAGCATTCCACCCGCTGCGGCGATGCGTCCGTAAAGGCAACAGATGGATCCGTCGTCGCCGCGATCCCCGGCCGGCCGCAACATCCGGCGCTCGCTCAGCGCGCGGGGCGGCGTCGCCTGCATCGTGGCCATGGCGGCGGTCTGGCTGCTGCTGGACTGGATCGAGTTCCGCGTGCCCGGGGACGAGATCCTCGAGAAGCGGTCCGCGCCCTTTCCCGACGCGGCGCCGCCGCCGGACGCGGATCCGGCCGCGGCGCCGCCGGACGCGCCGCCGGACGCGCCGCCGCCGCCGCCGCCGCGGACGAGGCGGGTCCCGCGCGCTGCTTCGCGGCCATCGCCGGCGACGAGTGGCGCGTCTTCGGCAGCGCCGAGGCCTGCGCCGCCGAGAAGCCGGCGCCGCTCGGGACCGTGTCCGCGTTCGAGCGAGCCGCGGATTTCGGCTGCGACGAGCTCTACCGCTGCCCCGGCGCGGCCTACTGCGACCGGACCACGGGCTTCTGCGGCATCGACCCGAACGCGGGCGAGGCCTTCGTCCAGGCGACCCTCGACTGGACCGTGATCTGGAGCTTCCTCGGCCTCGTCGCGATGGGCGTGCCCTTCGCGGTGCTCCGGCGCATCGACCCGCCCCACCGCGCCGACGGGCCGGGCGACGGCGGCGGCGGCGGCGCGCCCGACAGCCCCGCCGCGGCGCCGGGCAAGCGCGCGGGCAAGACGCGGTAATGGTTGAAGGTTCACGTTTGCTGCATCGTCGGCTTTGCGTGTTGTTCTCGGATTGGCTGCCCGCTCGTCTGGGCTGCGCTCTTCGGCAGCATCATGGAGCAGCGCCTCCAGCGGTCGTCGGGCAACCGCCTCGCCGAGCGCACGCTGCGCAAGTCCGTGGCGCGCATCACGGGCATGCGGGGCTTCTTCAGCGGCAAGTACGAGCGCAAGGACTCCGTCGACGGCCGCGGCAGCCTCTGCTGCGACTCCTCGGAGCGCTGCCGCGTCGAGGACCTGCGCGCGGCCTGCAAACTGAACGACAAATTGAAGGAGCTGACCTTCGCGGACTGCGCGGGCCTGAGCGCGTTCATGACCGTGGCCCGCTTCGAGCGAGTGGGCGCGAGGGTGATGCACCGCGGCGACCGCGCGACGTTCCTCGCGCTCGTGCTCGAGGGCCGCGTTTCCATCAAGCTGCCGGGCGGGAAGAACGACGAGCCGCCGCCGCCGATCACCCTGGGCCAGGGGTCCTTGGTGGGCGAAATGTCGTATTTCGAGGGCGGCAGCCGAAACGCCGACGTCGACGTCTGCTCGGGCTCCGAGGCGCCCTGCGCCTTGGCGATCTTACCGTACGCGGAGCTCGACGGCGACGTCGCGCGCGCGGCGCCGGAACTCGCCGCGCGCCTCGAGGAGTGCCTCGCGCGGTCGACGGCTTTGCGCAAATTCGAGAACGAGCACCGCGGCGGGTCGCCGCAGGACGGCGCCGTGCGCTCGCTGCTCAAGAGCAAGAAGAAGCAGGCTTGGAGCTCCGGAAAGTGGTGGGGCGCGGAGCGGCTGCTGGCGGGGCTCCACGCGCGCGGCGCGCTGGGCGGCCGGGGGCTGCGCGCGTCGCTCAGCGGATTGTCGGTGCTCGAGTACGTGCCCCGGCGCGGCGGCTGGGCGCGCGTCGCCCAGGTGACCTTCGCGTCGGCCTCCGGCGCGGCGCCGTCCCTGGGCAGCGTCGCCAAGGTGCCGCGCGCGACGTTCGCGACTGCGCCGGAGCGCGGGCCCGCGTTCCGCGGCGGCGAGCGCGTCGACGCGGGCGGCTGCGTACCCCTCGAGGCGACGCTGACGACGGCGGAGGTCGCCGACGACGCCAAGGAGCGGCGGGACAGCGCGGGCGCGTTCGTCAAGGCGCGCGCCGCGAGCCGCTGGGTCTACCGGTCCGGCAGCGACGACGCGACGCCGCCGCCGCCGAGCGACGAGAGCCCGCGGCCCGCGCGCGAGCCCGACGACGGCGACGACCGGCGCACCTTCGCGCTCGCGCCCGCGGTGTTGGAGCCGCCGGCGGCGCGCGGGACGCGGACGGCCTACTACGCCATCGACTGCGCCATCGGCGCCTGGGTCGAGTGGACCGTGGACCGCCGCTACCGCCAGTTCCGCGAGCTCGCGCGGAAGCTGCGGCGCGCGGCGCGCGTCGACGACGGCGGCGCGGGCGCGGACCTGGACTGGGCGCTGGAGGTGCCGCGGCTGCCGCCGCGCGAGTGGTGGTGGGCGACGCTCCGCGCCGACGTCATCGTCCGGCGCCGCGACGGCCTCGCGGCGTTCGTCAAAGCCTGTGCCGAATTCAACCGCTGGTTTGGGTGGTCCTGACCAAACTTGAGAATTCTCTAGCTCGGTCAAATCGATGTCGATTCGGCTGATTTTTGGACGAATCGATTGCTCTCGTCGAGTTCTCGAAGCACGGCTGAAAGACTCGCGTCCAAATCGTTCGATTATGCGCACATTGAATTCGAGTTGAAGATTTGATTTCCACACAGGTCAAAGCCGTCGCGGAGGAGCCCGCGTTCCGCGACGCGCGCGAGACGGCGGCGTTCCTCAAGGCGCGCGACGCGCCGGACGACGACGACGACGACGAGTCGACGGCGCGGCCGCGCGTCGTCGTCTACCACTGCCGCGCGGCCGTCGGCCGCGAGTCGTGGACGGCGAACCTCCGGCTCCACGACCTCGCGGACGTCGCGAACGCGCCGCGGCCGCCGCCGCCGGCCGCGTTGCTCCGCTGCGCGCGGCCCCTCTTCGAGCTGCGCGACGACGGCGACCGCGACGTCCGCGCGGCGCTCGCGTCCCTCGAGTCCCACGCGGCCGTCGTCGCGCGGCTCGCGCGCGACTCCATGCTCGCGGTCGTCGCGGACCCGGACCTCGAGGCCGCGTGCGCCGTCGCCCTGCGGCGCTTCGCGGTTCCCCGGGGGTAACACGCTTACGTGGCGGCGTCCTCGTCCTCGTAGTCCACGACGATCTCGAGGTCGGGCCAGGCCGCGCGGAACGGCTCGGGGCCTTTCTTGCCCGTGGAGAAGCACGCGTTGACGCGGAGGACCTCGAGCTCGTTGGCCTCGTCGAGGTCGCCGGGGTCGATCCGGAGGTCGCTCAGCGCGAGCTCGCGGAGCGACGCGGGGAGCGTCGCGAAGGCGCGGCCGACCGCGGGCGCGGGCAGCGGCGGCTTCGAGTAGCAGATCCCGTGGCGGACTTGGAACGCGCGCAGGTTCGGCGTCGCCGCGAGGAGCTTGCCGACGAGCTCCGTCAGCATCGCGGTGCTGAAGTGGTTGCGATACGTCGCGAGCCTCTGGACTTTGAGCGCGCGGAGGCGCGGGAACGGGTGGAGCGGTGGCACGCCGTCCCAGCCGGCCTCCGAGTAGGAGTTCGCGTTGAACTCGAGCGTCTCAAGGTTCGGGAACCAGGACCCGGCGACGGAGACGGCGCGGTAGTCCTGGCGCTCCATGCCCGTGATCTTCAGGTGCGCGAGCACGGGGTCGCCGCCGCCGCGCGCGTCGCGCCACGCGTGCCGCGCGGCCGAGAGCGACGCGTAGGTCGCGAGCTTGTCCGGCGCCTCGAGGGCCTCGAGGCAGGGCGCCGCGGCGATCCACTTGCCGAAGTGCGGCGCGCTGCCGTTGACGTCCGTGCCGACGGCGAGCGTCCGGAGCCGCGGGAGGCACGGCGGCCGCTGCTTCATGATCTCCGCGTTGATCTGCTTGCCGTCGAGGAAGACGTGCCGGAGCCCCGGCAAATCGCGGAGCGCGCCGACGACGGCCGCCGACGAAAGATAGGTAGAGCCGTAGGCGCCCGTCCGCACGCCGAGGGCGTCGACGGCGTCCTTGTGCTCGAGCCAGGCGACGAGCTTCGCGAGTCCGGGCCCGACGAGCGACATCGAGTCCCAGAGCGGCACCGCCTCGGCCGCGTCGAGGCCCCCGGACAGGAGCCCGACGTTGTTGCAGAAGATCCGGCCCCAGAGGCCCCGCGCGGACCGCAGGCGCCGCCACGGCTTGCAGACGCAGACCACGGCCTGGAGCCGGTCCGCGAGCCGCAGGTACGCCATGACGCGCGAGAGCGACTCGCCGTCGACGGCGTCGAAGCGCCCCGTGCCGCGCCGGTCCTCGCCGTCGACGACCGCCACGACCGGCGCCGGCCGCCCGCGCTTCGCGTACGCGACCAGGTCGTCGCGGCTGGCCGCGTTGCCGTTGTAGAGATGGAGCGCCAGCTCTTCCAGCTGCGCGCGGGGGATCTGCGCGAGGAGCACCTCCACGGAGACCTCCGGGGCCGGGGCGGCGCGCTTCTTGCCCTTGGCCATCGCGAGCTCCTTGGCCGGGGCGGCGCGCTTCTTGCCCTTGGCCATCGCGAGCTCCTCGACGATGCGGTGGACGGTAGCGGTGCTCGACGCGCGGCTCCTCGACGATGCTGTGGACGGTAGCGGTGCTCGACTCGCGCGTACCTAGGCTCGAAGCCGCCAGATCGTCCCCTCAGAGTTTTGTTTTTGCCGTTCAACTGATGTTCAATGTGCACTTAAGCACCCTAAATCCACGTCGCCTCGACCTCGCGGAAGCCCGGCGACGCGCGCGGCGAGGCGCCCTCGGGCCGGACGCGCTTCCGGTCCGGCGGCGTCCGCGGGGGGCTCGACCCGTCCGAGAAGGGCAGGCGCTCCGCGTCGACGCGCGCGACGCGGAGCAGCGACGGCCAGAGCCCCTGCGCGTCGAGGAAGTCGTTCAGGTTCCGCAGGAGCGGCCCCGCCTCGTCGTGGATGTAGTCCGTCGTCGTCGTCTCGATGTAGTCCGAGAGCAGGTCGCTCGCGGAGCCCGCGACGGCGTTGTAGAGCCACGCGTAGGCCGTGCCGTCGAAGCTCAGCGCGCACGCGTCGACCGTCACGCGCGCGTCGCGGAGCGCCAGGAACGGCGCGCCGCCGCCGGGCCGCCCGTCGCCGGGCCGCCGCGCGGCGACGAGGTCGAGGCCCAGGCAGATGTTCGACACCGCAGCGTGCGCGTAGCCCTCGTCGCGGAAGACGGCCGAGTCCTTCTTCCCGACGGACCAGCGCAGGTCCGACAGCGGGCAGTCGACGCCATAGACGTCGACGTGGAGCAGGCTCTCGGACCCGAGGTCGCGGTCGAAGGCCACGCGCAGGTTCTCGTGCGTCACGCGCACGCGCGACAGGTCGACGTGGTCCACGGCGTACTCGACGCCGTTCGCGTCGCCGGCCACGCGGCCCGGCGGCAAAGCCGTGAGCGCCGACGCGCCCAGGTCGAGCGCGAAGTCGGACAGCGCCGCGAGGAGCTGGTCGTCGAGGTGCCGCGCCTGGGCGGGAAAAGAGTGCGAAATTTCCAACTTTGGAGGCTCATATCTCGGCCGGTTTCCACTCGTTTCGTCTAATTTTTGGACGAGCGATCATCTCTCGGAGCGCTCTCGAGGATGCTTTTTCCGACAGGCGCGGGCGCGGAACACTCATGTTGAAGTGAACCTGAATCACTCTTTTCCTGCCCCGTGCCGCGCGACGTCGAGCGCGATGTGCTCCGCGTTGGCCTTGCTCAACACGCCCTCGAGGCGCCGCGCGACGTCCGCGGCCCGCTGGAGCAGCTTGAGCGTCGGGCCGGCCCGGAACGTCTTGTGGCGCACGGCGAGGAGGTCGTCGACGACGTCCGAGAGGTCCCGGAGGAGCTGCTGGACCATCGGCCGCGACTTCGGCGACGTCGACCGCTCCACGGACGTGAGCTCGCTCTCGACGGCGCGCCGCGCCTCCTCGAGCAGGGGCACGACCTTCCGCGCGGCGACCTCGAGCAAACCGCCGGAGTCGAGCGCGCGCGTCGCCAAACTCGCGAGCGCGGCGCCGCCGGCGGACCCCTGGAGCCGCGCCCAGGCGCCCGCGTCCACGGCGCGGTACAGCACGTCCACCAGAGCGTCCAAAATCTTGTCCTTGACCGCTTCGATGCCCGCGTCGTCGTCGAGCGACGTCGACGTCTCGAGGTTGACGTCGAACTTCGCCACGCGCAGCGACGCCTCTTGGTCGCCGAGCTTCCGGAACGCCGCCGTCGCCGACGCCGCCGCCGCCAGGATCAGGTCCGACTCCTCGGCGGGCCGCGCGGCCGCGCGCGCGACCGTGCCCTCCTCGACGGCGTCGCCGAGCCTCGCCCAGACGCCGCGGCCGACCCTCAGCTCGACGTCCTCGGCGACGAAGCGCCGGTAGCGGTAGCGCGTCTCGCTCTTCCAGAAGAAGGGCACGAGCTCGAGCGCGGCCACGCGGCCGACGCAGGCCTCGACCTCGCGCTCGTAGTTCTGGAGCGCGCGGGCGAAGGGCTCGCCCAAACCGTCGAGCAGGCCCTCCGTCGCCGAGCTCCGCCGCTCGAGCCGCGGCCGCGGGACGTCGCCTCTGGCGCCGCGGCGCCGCGCGAGGCCGTCGAGCGTCAGCAGGCCCGTCGCGCCGTCGACGTCGAGCCGCAGCGACGCGCCCCGGCACGAGACCTCGCGGACGTCGACGACCTTCTTGAAGATCGACGCGAGGTGTACGACGGTCTTGGCCTCGGCGACGGCGCCGACGTCCGGCGCGAAGGGCGCGCCCGGCGGCTTCGTCCGCAGCTCCGCGACGCCGACCTCGAGCGCGCCCTCGGCCCAGCGCACGCCGAGGGTGGCGGCCTGCACCGTCGTCGACGCCGACAGCAGCTGCGACAGCCGCCAGGACAGCAACGCGGCGCGGCACAGCCAGAGCAGCGCGACGGCTACCAGCGCGGCGGGCCAGAGCATGGTCTTTCACGGGGCCTCTCTAGCGCATTCCATGCTTCATTCCATCATCATCATCATTCGCTTGCGTTTCAGCATCAACGTGGTTCTTGAATTTCAAGTTGCAGCCCCCGGGTAGGCCCTCTAGCTGTTAACCTCTCCTAGCCTAGCAGCGTCCGATTTGCCGCAAGCGATGTGGATCTGGTCCGCCGACTGACGGCGCGGCAACTGCGCGATAACACTCATCACACGACTTGTGCGGCAACGCTGCGACAACCCTCATCGACGATCGATGCAAAAGAATGGCAGCACCACGGTCGTCCGCGAGCTGCCCGGCAAGGGCCGGTGCCTCTTCGCGACCCAGCGCGCCGCGCCCGGCGACACGGTGCTCAGCGAGGCGCCGATCATGGTGAGCCTGCCGTCGGACGCGCCGGCGCTTTTCGCGCTCCTCGAGGAGCTCCACCGGGCCGCGCCCTTCGCCTGCGGCCACGTCCGGAGCCATTTCGCCGCGATCTGCACGCTGTCGCAGGCTCCGCCGGTCTACGCGGCCGTCATGGACAAGGGCGCGCCCCGCGGCGAGCGCGAGCGGCTCCAGCACGAGGTCGCGCGCTGCGCCAGGGCCGCCGCGAAGCTGCTGCCGGGCGCGGACTTTTCCGACCTCGCGCAGTTGATCTGCGGCTGGGAGTTTAACGGCTTCCCCGCGGACGGCGGCGCGCTGGTGCTCTACGACCGCGTGAGCACGGCGGCGCACTCCTGCGACCCGAACGTCGAGGTCGTCGTGCTCTTCGAGCTCGAGAACGCCGCGGCCGCCGCGCGGGCCGTCGAGGCGGAGCCCGCCGCCGCCGGCGACCTCGTCTTCGACGACGAGGAGCGGGCGGCCTACGAGCGCTACCTCAAGAGCGCCGGGGCGCCGCCGGTGCGCAAGGGCGACGTCTTCGACTCCAGATACGCGGGCCTCGAGTTCCGCGCGCTCCGGGCCGTCGCGCCCGGCGACGAGATCGTCTTTTCCTACTGCCTGACGGCCGAGGATCTGAGGCGCGACTTCCGGCGGCGGCGGAAGGTGCTCAACCTGCGACACTGGTCCTTCACCTGCTACTGCGACCGGTGCGTCGCCGAGAGCCGCGCGTTCCTGCGAGACGCGCGTGGCGTCCGCGAGGACGACGAGGGCGCGTCGTCGTCCGACGACTCCTCCGACGCGCCGGCGGCGCTCGCGGCCGTCGCCTGCGACTTCGAGGACTACTAGCGACACCTAAATACCGGGACCTACTTCTGCGCCGCGGAGTCCGCGAAGACGGCCTCGAGCTTCTCCGTCTCGATCATCGTGAGGACCTCCTCCATGAAGGTCAGGGACGCGGAGCGGTGCATGGGGCCCGGGAGGCAGTTGAAGGGGAAGGCCTTGAGGTCGAGCATCTCGCGCGCGAGGTGGCTGCGGAAGACGACCTCGAAGGGCCGCTGCTGTATCGCGGCGTCGTCGCACGCGTGGCACGCCGCGTCCGACTCCTGCTTCGCCAGGGCCCGCAGGTCGCGGCCCTCGAGCATGGCGGCGTTGCAGAGCTGGTAGGACGACGTCAGCGCCGCCTGGACGTTCTCCGCGATGGCCGAGACCAGCTTGTCGCAGATCGTGGCTACCACGTTCCCGGGGACGAGGGGGATCTTCTCCGCGTAGGCCGCGAAGGAGTTCACGAGCTTCTCCCGCTCCTCCAAATCCGTGAAGCGGTGGTCGATGGATTTGAGGAAGATCTCCGTGACGATGCGCGTGTGCTCCTCGTCCGTCATATCGCCGCCGACGGGCGTCGACGCCATCGTCATGCTCCGCGTCATGAGCTTGACGACGCAGCGCACGACGCAGCGCCGGTCGAGGACGTCGAGGAAGGGGAGCTCGACGTAGTCGAAGACCCACTCGCAGATGTTGTGCTCGACGTCGAGCGCGTCGGACGCGGGCATCTCGCGCGACGAGTGGATCACGCAGAGGAAGCGGTTCGGCAGCCGCAGGCTCAGCACCTCGGCGACGTGGCAGACGCAGAACTCGAAGATCTCCTGCTCGTCCTCCTCGTCGAAGAAGGCCAGGTCCACGAGGTCGTTGATGAGCCGCGCGCAGGCCTCGACCTCCTCGTCGCCCATGAGGAGCTGCGCGCGCGGCGACCGCTCGATGCGCGTGCCGAGGTAGCGCCGCGACAGCGGGATGAGCGGGCCGTCCACGACGATCTTCTCCGCGCCGTGATGCAGCGTCTGGGGGCCGCGCAGGCCCGGGATGGCGCTGCGCCAGCCCCACTGCTTCTCCGGCGCGCAGAGGGCCAGCGACGTCGACCCGAAGGCGCCGGCGACGGCGACGGAGCAGTGGCGCGCGGCGAGGCGCAGCATGGTGCAAACTTTCGAGCGAGGCGGGCTGCCGAAGGGGCTGCCTCGCGGCCCGAATCGCTGCCCCAGACTCGGGAGATGCCAGCGTCGATCGAGCTCGATGCGATCTGCAACGCGCCTTCAGCATAACATTCAAACATTACGTGTCGACGGACGAGCTCGGGCTGATGGCGTCGGAGTCGTCCTCGGACTCGCCGGACTCGTCGTCGTCGTCGTCGTCGTCGGACTCGGTCGTCGTCGTCGTCGTCGTCGTCGTCGTCCTCGTCCTCCTTGTCGTCCGCCGCGGGCGCCTCGCCGAGCCCCGGGAACTTGAAGCGGTTGAGGAGCTTCTTCTCGTGGCCCTTCTTGTCCGCGGGGATGCCGAAGCAGGCGATGTCCTCCCGGTCGAGGCCGTGCGCCGCGATCTGCGCGTAGTCGTAGCCCGCGGCGATGATCCGGGGAAAGTACTGGTCGCAGCCGATGTCCTTGAGCCAGGCGCGCAGCGCGCCGTGGTCCGCGGCGGCGTCGACGGCGGACGACGCGCGCTCGGCCAGCACCGCGGCGACGCGGTCGTGGCCCGCGAGGCGCGCCAGTTCGTGCGGCGGCGCCAGCTTCGAGCCCGCGACGAGGGGCGGCGCGCCGGCGTCGAGCAGGGCCTCCACGGTCCGCAGGTGGCCCTGGGCCGCGGCGTAGTGGAGCGGCGCGAAGCCCAGGCTGTCCGGCCGGCCGCCGTCCGCGCCCGCGGCGAGCAACCTGCCGACGACGCCGGCGTGCCCGTAGCGGCAGGCGACGTGGAGCGCCGACGAGTTCGGCAGGAACCGGCTACTCGCGCAGCCGTTCGGGTCCGCGCCGGCGGCCAGGATCGTCTCCACGGCGCGGACGTCGCCCTCGGCGGCGGCGAGCTGCAGCGGCCGCCAGTCGTCGAACTGGAACGTGGCGTCGACCGGGTTCGCCACCCGGCCCGCGCCGGCCTGCCGCTGGCGCCAGCTCGTGATGGCGTGGAGGTCGCCGGCGCGCGCCGCGTCCACGGGGAAGGGCGTCAGCCGCGCCGCGGCCATGGTGCGGTGCCGGGCTGCCCCTCTTGCGCCGTAAACTTGCCGCTGCCAGTTTGTTTTGTGTCGTTTCCGAACTGAGTTGTTGACGTCAACGAGGCGAGCCACACCGCAGTCGTCGCCCACCAGCTAGCCGGCCGCGTCGCGCGCCGCATCGCGAGGCGCAATGGCGGCATTGGAGCTCAAGACGCAGGGCAACGAGGCGCTCGCCGCCGGCCACTACTCGCAGGCGTGCGCCCTCTATTCCCAGGCCATCGAGATCGACGGGTCGAACCATGCGCGTCGCCAGCGCCCAACCCAACGCCAGCGCAGCGCCGACCCTCCCTGGGCCCTCGAGCCGTCGCCGCGCCCGCGCCCGCGGCGCCGGACCCCCGCGCGCCCGGGGCGCGACGCGCGACAGCGCCCGCGCGCGCCGCGTCAACGGCCGCGCGCGTCGACGCGCGCGCGCGCCGCTTCCGCCGCGAAATATCCCGGAACGTCGACGCCGCGGCCCCCCAGGTGCTCTACTCGAACCGGGCCATGGCGCACATCAAGGCCGAGAGCTACGGCCTCGCCATCAGCGACGCCGAGGCGGCGATCCGCATCGACCCGACGTACATCAAGGCCTACTACCGGCGAGGGTCGGCGAATTTCGCGCTCGGCAAGTACCGCCTGGCGCTGCGGGACTTCAAGGCCGTCTGCAAGCTGCGGCCGAGCGACCGCGACGCGCGCACGAAGCTCAAGGAGTGCGAGAAGGCCGTGAAGCAGCTCGCGTTCGCGTCGGCGATCGAGAGCAGCGACGACCAGTGCGTGTCCGCGACGGTCGACCCGTCGCAGATGGTCGTCGAGGACGCCTACGACGGCCCGCGCCTGGGCGACGACGGCGTGATGACCGACGAGTTCGTCGAGGGCATGCTCGAGCGCTTCCGGGACCAGCGCCTCGTCCACAAGAAGTACGTGCTCCAGATCCTCCTCGGCGCGAAGGCGCTCCTGCAGGCCGAGGGGTCGCTCGTGGACCTCAAGATCCCGGAGACCGACGCCGACGGCGACGCCGACAAGGCCCACTACACGGTCTGCGGCGACGTCCACGGCCAGTTCTACGACCTGCTGCACATCTTCGAGATCAACGGCCTCCCCTCCGCGGCGAACCCGTACGTCTTCAACGGCGACTTCGTGGACCGGGGCTCCTTCAGCGTCGAGGTCGTCACGTCCCTCTTCGCGCTGAAGCTCCGACATCCCGGCGGCGTCCACCTGAACCGGGGCAACCACGAGACGAAGAACATGACGAAAATCTACGGCTTCGAGGGCGAGGTCCGCCACAAATACGACGCGACGGTGCTCGCGCTCTTCCACGAGTGCTTCTGCTTCCTGCCCCTGGCGGCGTGCATCGAGTCCAAGGTCTTCGTGACCCACGGCGGCCTGAGCTCCGACGACGGCGTCGTCCTCGACGACGTCCGGGCCATCGACCGCGACCGCGAGCCGCCCGACGCGGGCCTCATGTGCGACCTGCTCTGGAGCGACCCCCAGGCCAACGAGGGCCGGAGCCCGTCGAAGCGCGGCGTGGGCCTCAGTTTTGGGCCGGACGTGACGCGGTCGTTCCTCGCGAAGAACGACCTCCGCCTCGTCATCCGGAGCCACGAGGTCCGCGACTCGGGCTACGAGCTCGAGCACGGCGGCGACCTCATCACGGTCTTCTCCGCGCCCAACTACTGCGACGCCATGGGCAACAAAGGCGCCTTCGTCCACCTCCACCGCGACCTCGACCCGAAATTCACGACGTTCGACGCCGTGCCCCACCCGCCGGTCCGGCCCATGGCCTACGCGTCGTCGCCCTTCGGCTTGTGATCCCCGCGGCCCGGCGCCGCCCGCCCGGCCGCGGGCTCCGGGGGAGCCCGGAAGCCGCGTCCCGCCGCGCTCGTCTAAACCAGCTCACCATTGCCCGCGTCCTAGAGCAGCGAGTCGAGCGTCACGGCGGACACCGCGGCGCTCCCGCCGGGGGCGTCGTGGACGAGCGGGCACCGCGCGCCCGCGGGGCAGCTGTCCGGGAAGCCGGGGATGAAGCGCGGGCACTTGGTCGCGGCGGCCGCGGCCCGGGGCGACGGGTCCGCCGCCGCCGCGGGGCCGTAGCGGCCGCCGCCGTCGGGCGCGCGCGCGGGACCGGCGTCGCCGTGGACGAAGCGGCACCGGTCGCCGAAGCCGCAGCGGCCCTCGCGGACCCAGTGGCGGCAGGGCGTCTGCGACCTGCCGAAGCCGTCCGGTCCGGCGGGCCGCGCGTCGCCGAAGCCGCCGGGAAGCGCGCGGTCCGGCGGCCGCCGCCGCTCCGGCGACCGGGACCGGCGCCGCTCCGGCGACCGGGACCGGCCCCAGCGCCGGTCCCGGCTCCGGCTCCGGCTCCGGCGCCGGCTCCGGGACCGGTCGCCGGCGCTGTCGCTCCGCCGCCGCCGGTCGCGCGAGCCGCTCCGCCGCCGCCGCCGCCGCGACGAGCTCCGCGACCGCCGCGACCGCTTCGCCGGCGACCGCGACCGCCGCGGCGACCGCGACCGCCGCCGGGCCGGCGGCCGGTCGCCGGGCGCGCGGCCGCGCGCGGGCGGGCCGCGGAGGCCGCGCGCGACACGACGGCGTCGGCGCCGAAGGAGCCGGAGACGACGTAGGCGTCGGAGCGCCGGCAGAAGTCGCCGAGCGTCGTGGCGAACTCGGCGACGACGTCGTCGACGCGCTCCGTCTTGAGAAAATACTCGAGCTGGTTCAGCGTCGCGGACGCGTCGCCGAGCGCGCGGTCCACGAGGACCCCCAGCCTTTCCGGCGGCGCCGGCGGCGCACCGCCGCCGCCCTCGACGAGGGACACGTCGCCGCGGCTCACGCGGAAGCGGTGGGGCCGCGCGCCCACGAAGTCGGCCACGCGCGCGCCGGACGTGAGCTCCGACACGCGGCCGAGGCTCGACGGCGTCGCCGCGCGGTGGTCCCGGAGCGCGTCCCGGAGCCGCTCCGCCGCCGGCGGCGCGTCGTAGCGCTCGAGGTCGTCGACGGACCAGAGGCGCTTCTTGAGGTCCGCGAGCGACACGGCGCCGAAGCGGAGCGCCTCGACGACCGCGGCCTCGACGAGCGCCTGCGCGGCCCAGTAGTCAAACGCGTCGGACCGCTCGGCGACGACAAAGGGCGCGTCGTCCTCGGCCTCGTCGCCGTCGGGCGCGCGGACCTTGACGGACGCGTTCGGACCCGTGGCCGTCCGGTCGACGTCGAACGCGCGCCGCGACCGCAGGAACTCGCCGAGGGGCCTGCGCCGAACCCAAATCTTCAACCCGACTTCAATGTGAGCGTATTCGAATGTGTTGACACAATTTCTTCGGCTGGGCTTCGAGAACTCGACGAGAGCGATCGATCCGTCCAAAAATCAGCCGAATCGACTTCGATTTGACCGAGCTAGAGAATTCTCAAGTTTGGTCAGGACCACCCAAACCAGTGGTTGGTTTCGGCACAGCGAGGGGCTGGCCCAGCACGTCGAAGAGGTCGCCGCCCCGGGCGTAGGCCGCGAGCTGGGCCGTCTTCCCGCCGAGGGCCGCGCCGTTCTCGTGGCGGCCCTTGGTTAAAGCGGCGCGGAGGTCGCCCTCGAGCTTGACGACCGCGCGCGGCCGGCCCGCGAGCAGCTCGAGCACGGCGGCCTCGACGAGCGCCTCGCCCGGGGCGCGGTCGACGGCCAGCGCGGCCTCGTCGCGCTCGAGGCGCAGCAGGCCGTCGCGGAGCCGGAAGTGCGTCGGCCGCGACCGGACGAATAATTCCAGCGACGCGCCGGAGCAGAGGCTCTTGAGCACCTGGGCAGCACAAGAGTGATTCAACGTCGCTTCAACGTGAGTGTTCCGCGCGCGCGCGTAACGAAAAACACATCCACGCTTCGAGACCGTTCCGAGAGATGATCGCTCGTCCAAAAATCAGCCGAAACGAGTGGGAAACGGCCGAGAAAGGAGCCTTTGAAGTTGGGAATTTCGCTCTCTTGTCCTGCCCTGTTGAGCACGGCGGCGTCCTGGGCCTCGTAGCAGGCGAGGAGCGCCCTGAGCTTCGCCGTCGCCGCGGGCGCGCCGTCGGGGCCGGGCTTGGCCGGCTTCGCGAGGTGGCGCGCGAGCTTGGCCCGCGTGCCGAGCGTGTCCTCGACGAGCCGCAGCGTCGGCGCGAGGCCGATGCCCTCGCAGGCCTCGGCGACGGCGTCGCGCACCGCGCGCTGCACGGCGGCGTAGGGGTCCGCGCCGACGTGCGTCACGAGGGCCCCCGACGAGAAGTCGCCGGCCGCGACGCGGTAGCGCGGGCAGCCCCGGACGTACTCGCCGAGGGGCAGCCCCGCGAGCTGGCGCTGGAAGGCGCGCCGCTCGCGGCCCGTCGGCGCGAGGTCGCGCACGCGCTTCGGGCCGCCGGCGAGCAGGTTCGCGAGCGTCGCGTCGACGGCGTCCGTCGCGTCCTCGGCCGGCGGCGGCCGCGGGCCCGCGTACTCCGCGTCGAGCAGCGCCGCGACGCCGAAGCCGTCGTCGATCTCGAAGCGGTCGCTCCGCGACTCGAGGAACTCGCGCACGGTCGTCCCGGACGCGACGTCCTCGAACGTCGCGGCGCGCCGCCAGTCCATCTCCTCGCAGAGCGACTGGCACCAGGCCAGGGGCGCGCGCTCCAGCGCCGCCCGCGTCGCGAAGGCGCCGACGAGGTCGCCCACGTTCATGGCGCCCGCGTCCGTCGCCGCGAGCATCTCGGCCATGGCCTCCTCGGCCACGTACATGGCCTTCTCGAACGGCGACAGCGTCGCCTCCCACTCCGGCCGCGCTTCGACGTCGTCGTCGTCGTCGTCGACCGGCGCCGGCGCGTCCGGGGCCGGCGCGCACGCCGGGCGCACGGCGGCGTCGGCCGTGAGGTCGTCCGCGTCGACGAAGAACTTGGACGGCTTCGCGCGGAGCGCCTCCGACGACGGCACGCCGAGGAGGTCCACGACCGTCACGCGCGTCGTGTCGAACTCGTCGCGGAGCCAGGTCCGGAAGAGCGCCGCCCTGGTCCCGCCCTCGCGCTTCGCCGGCGCCGCGCCCGGCGCGAGGAGCGCGCGCGCGAACGAGTCGACCGCGCCGCACGTCGTCGCGCCCTCCGCCGCGACGAACTCCGCGAGGGCCCCCTCGAGGAACCGCGCGCCGACCTCGCAGCCCTGGGGCACGCCCGGCCGGCCCGCGTAGCGCACCGTCGTGAGCTTGAGGGGCCGGTTCTTCTGGCCGTCGACGCCTAAAAGCTTGAAGCGGTGCGCGCGGCTCGCCAAGAACTCCTTGAGCGTCGCGCCGCCGAGCAGGTCCCCGAGCGACGACGCGTCGCGGTGCACGTAGGTCTCCAGCAGCTTCGACCGGCTCCGCGCGAGCCGCCGGTCGAGCCGCTCCGCGTCGAGGTGCCGCCGGAGGCCGCCGCGGCTCGCGAGCGGCGCGAGGGCGCCGGACGGCAGCGGCTTCGCGCTCAGCGTCTCGGCGATAGCCTCCTCGACGACGTAGGCGACCTGGGCGAAGAGCGACTCCTCGAGCTCGACCTCCTCCGGCTCCGGCGACGGCGCGCCGCGCGCCGGCGGCGCGGCCGCGGGCGCGTCGAAGTCGCCGTCCTCGTTGAAGAAGTCGAGCTCCTCGCCGGTGACGTCGGGCCGCGCGGACCGCTCCTCGCGCGTCAGCGTCGCCCGCGCCGTCGCCGCGCGCCGCGCCGCGCAGAAGACGACCCAGTGGCGGAGCGCGACCTCGGGCGTCCGGCTCGCGCCGTACTTGCGCTCCGCGAGGGCCAGGTTCTCCCGGTGGCCCGCGACGTGCTGCGTCACGTCGCCGTGCGTCAGGGCCTCGGCGCGGTCGCCGTAGCCGCCGCCGAGGCCGCCGAAGGTCGACCCGCCGAAGAAGTCCTTGAGCGCGCGCAGGATCGCCGGCAGGCGCCGCGGGTGCAGCGTCTCCGCGGCCCAGGCCTCGAAGGCGACCCACGTCGCGCCCGCGGCGTCGAAGCGGTGCGGCGTCGCCATCTATCGGGTCGTTGGCTCGTCGGGTCGGCTCGGTGCGTTTTCACACATGGTCGAGGAGAGGCTCGACCATCGAGAGCCCTCTTAGGATTACAAAAATGGGAGTTGAATTTATCAACGAAGTCGTATCTCGGCGCCGCGTCGTCCGCGCACACGATGGCGACAGCTGCACGATGATGACAGCTCGCTGGCTCTTGTGGCTGCCCCTGGCGACCGCCGCGTCGCCGGTGCCGGACCCCGAGGTCGGCGCCATCGTCGACCAGGTCGCGCGGCAGTTCGCCGAGGCCAACGGTCGGGGGTTCGAGGGCTGGGAGCCGAAGCTGCTCAAGGAAGCGGCGAGGAACTACCACGCGAAGATCACGCCCATGGCCATGCCCTGGCCCGTGGACCAGGACACGGCGGAGACCTTCGTGCCGCCGGAGGGCGTCGAACCGCGCGTGCCGAACATCGCGCACTGGGCCTGGCGGTCCGGCGACGCCGACTGGACGATGGCGCTGTCCGTCGTCATGGCCAGGGTCGTGCAGCGCGCGGAGACGCTCTACCTGCACACGGGCCCGCTCGGCGACGGCGACTGGAGCTACACGAGCCCGCGGACGGCGGCGGGCGCCGAGGCGCTGAAATGCATCCGGGCCGCCGGCGCGACGGAGTACGCGCACGACGCGGACCCGACGCCCGACCCGAGCGGGCGCCACCCCTGGGCCGAGGTCATGCACCACAAGCCGGGCCACGACTTCAGCAAGCAGACCTTCGCGCACGTCTCCGACGTCATGCGCCTCTACACGATCCTAAAGCACGGCGGCATCTACCTCGACCGCGACGCGCAGGGCAGGACAAGGGTGATTCAACGTCGCTTCAACGTGAGTGTTCCGCGCGCGCGCGTTCCGGAAACAGCACCCACGCTTCGAGACCGTTCCGAGAGATGATCGCTCGTCCAAAGATCAGCCGAAACGAGTGGAAACCGGCCGAGAGAGGAGCCTTTGAAGTTGGGAATTTTCGCACTCTTGTCCTGCCCAGGCGACGCGTTCCTCCACAAGCGCGTGGACCACTACCGGTGGAAGTACGACGCCGTGCTGGGCCTGGAGATGCAGAACTTCGAGCGGGACCACGCGGCGAACTTCGGGTGCATCATGGCGGCGCCGAACGCGTCCTACTTCCGCTACTTCTGGGACGGCGCCGGCGACCCGTCGTACGTCGACCTGTCGTACCGCGTCACGTGGGGCGGCTGGGCCCACGACTCCTGCCGCAAGTCCTACGCGCTGGCCATCAAGCGGCCGGACCTCGTCCACATGGAGGCGCGGCTCCTCCAGTACCCGTTCCCGGGCCACGGGCCCGCGCGCGGCAACCAGGTCACGGACGAGCTCCTCGCGCTCACGGAGAAGGCCGAGGTCTGCCACATGAGCGGCTTCATGTGGCACGGCGGCCGCACGCAGCAGCTGACCATGAAGCCGAGCATCTGGGGCAGGGTCATGTGGCCCAACGTGCTCAGGGCCGCGGCCGCGGCGCCGCGCCTCGACGCGGACCTCCTGGGCTGCGTGTCCTGGCTCGGCGAGAAGCTCGTCAACGAGTCCTACATGCCGCCGGGGGCGAACGCGAGGCCCTGGGCGGCCTAGCCCGCCTTTAGCCGCGGGGCCGCGCGGGGCCGTTGTAGGCCGTCGACCGCCGGCGGATCTTGTTCGCGGCCGCGATGTCCGCGACGCGGACGCCCTTGGAGTAGGTGATCTTCTCCGTGCCGTCGGCCTGCTTGATCGTGCCCGTCGTGATGCACGTCTCGCTGTCGATGAACCAGAGCTCCGTCTCGTTGAAGGCGCCGCTGTCGAGCTTCTGCTTCTCGAGGATGAGCCGCTGCTCCGTGTCGAAGCGGATGAGCTTGTTCGGGTTGTGCTCGTGGGTCCGCACCCACTCGTCCATGCGCACCTCGAACTCGTTGCCCATCTTGACCTTGCCGCCGGCGAGCTCGATCGTGCGCTTGCAGTAGAGCCGCCCCCCCTCCTCGCGCCAGTTCACCGTCAGGTTCTGGTGCTGCATGACCGTCTTGATGACGTGGCGCACCCACATCTTCTTGATGTTCATCTCCTGGATGAGGTCGTTGCGCGCCGACGACTCCGTGATGGCGAAGGTGCCCTCGTAGACGTCCCGGAGGGCCACGCGCTCGCCGGAGATGAGCTCGAACTCGAACTTGCCCTGGGGGCTCGGGTTCGGGAAGGTCACGTCGACGGCGGCCTCGTCGGCGGCCTCGTCGGGGTCCTCCTTCTTCTCGTCGACGAAGTGGACGTCGTAGGCCGCGACGCCGGCGTCGACGGGCTTCGCCTCCTGGGGCGGCGGCCGACGTTTCGACGCGCAGCAGCCCATGGAATCGTTCGCGGTGCGGCGGTCAGGTCCGAAGGCTGGTTCCCACCGACGCGGTCGTTCCGGGGGCGACAAAGGTCGCGCGCGTCATGTCCCGCGGCCAGGCGCGGCCGCGCTACCAAGGTAACTCGAATTCTGGACGTGCCATGGCTGCCCCACGTTTTGGGTTTTTCGTGCGGGGCCAAAGCTGAAGAATCTCGGTACAAATCACTTCAACAAATCATCGCCTGCGACGAAGCTGCCCGCGGCCGCGGATCGTCCCCGACCGCGGCTGCCCCCCAGCTTCGTCGCCGCGGCGCCCCCGCGGGCCGGGGGACCGGGCCGTCCGCGCCGCCGAGGGCCCTCGCACCGGCGCCGACGCGCCGCCCCGGAGCGCCGCACGCATGCCGCCGCCGCCGCCGCCGCCGCCGCCCCCGCCGGACGACGACGTCAACGACCGCGCGTCGGCGGCGGCGCTCTGGCGGTCCAAGTACAAGGCGGCCCAGTCGCCCGACGCCAAGGAGCGGCCGAGCTACGGCGGCACGCGGCGCACGCGGGGCAA